TTAAAACGTCAAAATCAACTGCTGATAGTTATAAAATGTTGGCTACAAACATGCCCAAGTTTCACGAAATGAAAAGCTTACCTATACTTCTAGACGTTAGAAGGTTGAACAACAATTCCGGAATAAAAATCACTTTAACATTGAATGAGGCTAACATTGGATGAGGCAAAATACCATCCAAGTTGCCGAATTAAATTTAACAACACCAAACAGAAACGTGTTAAACAACGGCACGAGTCAAAGGAATCAACAAAAAGTGAAACTGGTTTTTCACCTAAGTTCTTTCGCCATTCAGTTGATCATTCAGATACAACATTAAAACAAGATATTGTCAAGTGTTTTTTGTCTGACAAAGATGCTCACCTTTCGTCACTCAGGGAAGTAATGACCATGAAGCTAATTGATAGATCGAACAGTTGTGCTGAAACTCTTCAGGACAAACAGGTATTTGCCAAATTAGGTACTGGGGATAGATAAAAAGTATAATAGCGCAAGACTTGAAACACCATCCCGCTTGTCTTGTAGCTCTATATAATAAAGAAAGAGTCGTTAAGAAAAAGACAGAAGAACAGACAGAAATTAATATTGATGCAAAAAATGAAGCAGGAGATGTAACCTAAGCCGAATTAGTCAATTATATATATTTGAGACGCAAAGAAAAAGTGATGGGGCTACTGCGTTTTGACTTGCAGATTTGCAAATATGTATGAAAGAAGAGATCAGCAGTTAAGTGAGTATTCATATCCAATACACAGACACGACTCGTTGAAATGCTACTTTCAAAGATACCAGCATACACTAAAGGTAGAGAGGTGTTGTTGGTTTATGAAAAAATTGTTGGTCCAGCAATAGCATTGGCATGTAAGTACGACGACACCATACATATCTGAAAAAAACGCAGAAATTATTCGGGTACAAATAAAGAAATACAAGACAAAATTTTCTGGATCATTTTCTGCCGAAGAAATCCAATCAAGCGTCCCCCCATCACTGCTTGAGCTAGTGTGTATGATTGATCATGGCCCTGATATTCAATCCCAATTAGAGAACAGTGTATGCAAGTCTGATCTAGCCGATGTTCAGCTCCTAATGTACTGATGTACAACTATCATGCAAAAACACCGAAAATATCATAACAACAGCGACATGCAGTGATCGTGAAACTCCTTTCTCGTGTTTCTGTACCTTTTAATTTTTGCAAGGACCAGAAATCAACCAGTCAATTGATCGATACTTTATTTCAATATGGATTATGTATTTCATGTAAAAGTAGACAGTGTGACTTTCTTAAGCCATGAAAACCAAGCTGCTCCTCCGTCTTGTCTCAGGGTGGCACTTTAAACATTGGTATTAAATCGCAGCTGATAAAAATGTTTATGTTACTCAAGGGGAAAATGTTATTTGCAATTTCAATACGGATACTTGCTGTCCCCTTGTAATCACGAAAAAGGAGATACACGAATGTTTGTCCATGTTAGGCATGCTGCTGTAAATGGCTGTAAAGAAGTAGATTTAAGTAGTACTGACAAGGATGCAGTAGTTTTAGGAATTGCAGCTTTCGAAAGACTAGATTTGGACACATTGTGGATAGGTTTTAGAGGAATAAAGACTTTCGATGGTTTCCTGTGCATGACATATCAAACTCGTTAGGTCCTCGTGTATCTGCTCTTCCTTTCTGCCATGCATTCAGCATTCAGGCTGACATGGGAAGTTTTTCCAGATGTAACGGACGTTTTTACCCGCTTGATTTTGATACCAAACTCGATTGAAAACACAGACATGGACATCATAGAAGCATGTGTTTGCATCATGTATGACACAACGACATCTTAAAAAAATGAAATTTTTGTATGGCCAGTAGCTGTTTTTCTTTAAATTAACATCTACTTATACCAAATCTCATGGTTGTATCACGATTTGCACAATTGTTTGCATAATATCTCCTACTCGTTCTGAAGCAGCAAGCGGAAATACCAAAACAGCAATGAATACTTGTAACCCCCTATTATCCTCGCCCCCCCCCTTTCAACACATCAAAGATTTGATTAATAAATTATTGTTTTAATCTGCTATCAAGTTAACATCTATTTTTGGCATGAAATTGAACACTCTAAACGTAGTTAAAATAAAAAAAAATTATATCATGAATATATTCATTTCATCATGTTCATACACAAATAAGATTTTACGAAAAAAATCGTGAATTTTTTTCTTTTATCATGTTCATCTCCTGACTTATATAAAAAGCTGAAAATAAAGCGTGACTTCAAGTTAGATGTAATTCCAACGAAGATACCGGCCTCTGTGAATACAGCTGTTTCACAAACCATGCCTATTTTGGGGAGATATATAATATTCATAGATATTTTGTTTTGTTTACGTACTGGTTTCCAGATATGATCTATATGTTTCATCTCATAGAGACATAATTTGGGCATGTTACCAGTATAAATACACATAATTATATGGATAGCGGCGAATTTGAATTCTGAGGAAGACCCAAAGTGAAGGGAGGGGTAGTGCAGAATTGTAGTATAAGTTTAAACTCTTAGAAGTTTAGGGCATATAAATGTTGAAAATATGCCGCACAACCCTATATTTTGACCTTTAAAAAAATTGAAGTGCATATGAACTTTCCATTCTAGGATATAATTTTTTACGAAACTTCATATTAAAAGAGGCACAGTTTTAGTTATTAAAGGAGTTCCTATGAGAAATTGCATTGTCTATATTTACAGATGTGTAACCTATGTTGGGTGAAGAAAGAGAACATATAAAATTTCACCAAATGAGGTTTATCATCAGAGATTTTAATGAAATTAACTCAATATAAAGTTGTTTTTTTTTTTTTATAAATATTTGATGAAGATTGAGAAAAAATCCTTGGTCTTAATTATGATGACTCAGGTAAATTCAGAGTTAAAAGTATTGATAGTTTACCTAAAGTCCTGTGTGAAAAGTAAATTCATTATACATGTATATGCATATTAGTAATTTGAATTGTTAAGAAGTGCTTATGTTAGCTCTTCACAGTCATTGAAACGCTTAGATCCTTGATGAATATTTTTGTTAGGGTGTTTTTGTCCTGTCGAAAACCCATAAGTAAGACGTAACACCTGAATGTGCTTTCTTGTGACCGAGGCATAAAACATACAAGCTAGAGATACAAAAATGCTACAATAAAACTAATAAATGTGTGTTCTATCCTAAAATGTACTAAATATTCCATATTCACAGAAACAGCAGAATTATTTAGCAAATTTGAAGCCCAAGTGGCAAAAAACAGAGAAAAATCCCTAACCCTTTAGTCATAAAACAGATAATTTAACCTATAAAGGATATGATTTTATTAATATAAAGGTCTTGTGTATAGAAAACAAGAACTGTGCTTTGAAGTTATACAAAAAACAGATTTTAGCAGTCATTTCTATAAAACCATTAGTGAATTCATATATTAGAATGGTAACTTCATACATACAACTGTTGCAAATATGGCTTTGTTTATACATTTTTAGTTCATATATTAGCCAAACTATGTTAGATATGGTTATCGATGATTTTATTGTGACAAGTTTTCTAAACTGACCATTTGAGGCAGAAATTGTAAACTTCTATAGATAAATAGGCATACAGGAAGATGTGGACTGGACACAGAGGCAGGATTGTATACTTTATATAATCTTGAATTTTGGAATGATTAACTACTAACTTTTACATTAAAAGAATTCTGAAATGATTTCAATTTGTTATCAAAATAGTTTCGTACAGGTTCTAGGCATTTCATGTCAGAAAACATGCACATAGAGTAAGCTGACAAAAATTAAAGTTTTGTTTACTTTAGAAATTGAAACAGAGGTGGGGGTATAAAATGTACAGTAAAAGAAAAGTTACAGTATATACAGTGATTTCTTTTGGGCTATGATTCTGATGATTAAGTATTGTTGTGAGAAAAATTCTGTTTTTCCTTTTAGAATACATGTTAGTATAGGTATTGTAGGTTGCACTTTGTAAATACGGCTTTTTCACAAACCTTGCCTCATTTGGTGAGATATATACTATTCATAGATATATTGTTTTGTTTACGTATTGGTTCCAAGATATGATCTATATGTTTCATCTCATAGAGACATTACTTTGGAATGTTACCAGTATACTTACACATGGATAGCGGCGAACTTGAATTCTGAGGAAGACCCAATCCATATGGTAAAACGAATTTTAACTTAAATTACGTTTACTAGTAATTATAACGGTTTAGTTTAGTCAAAATCTAGCTATAGGTACTTGCTTTGATGGGTCATCTTGTTTTCCTTTCAGTTTGTCATTAAGTACACCTATCTGTTCTTTAAGACTGGAAACTGTCTTTTCCTGCACTTTTAGTCTGTACATAAAAAATATCAATTAACAAATATGTTATACTTGTCGTTATGCTTGTCACAGAAGGTTCATAAAATGTCCATAAAATTTAATATTCTTATCGAGCCCTCAATAAACATTTAAGACGAACAGTGTACCCAAATTCCTTTCGATGTCATTTATATCTATGTATTAACTAACTATATACATTATATTATGAAGATTGAGAGATCAGGAAGATTTAGCCAACGATATGTGCCCTTCTATCTGAATTTTTGACGATTTTCATTTGAAAAGTGACACTTTAAGCCCTCCGAACATATCGAAGATGACATTTTTTCTGGAAAATCCTTTTGACAGCATCTGTATAAGTACGAAATCGACAAGATTTTTTCTTTTAGAATACATGTTAGTATAGGTATTGTAGGTTGCACTTTGTAAATACGGCTTTTTCACAAACCTTGCCTCATTTGGTGAGATATATACTATTCATAGATATTTTGTTTTGTTTACGTATTGGTTCCAAGATATGATCTATATGTTTCATCTCATAGAGACATTACTTTGGAATGTTACCAGTATACTTACACATGGATAGCGGCGATATTGAATTCTGAGGAAGACCCAATCCATATGGTAAAACGAATTTTAACTTAAATTACGATTACTAGTAATTATAACGGTTTAATTTAGTCAAAATCTAGCTATAGGTACTTGCTTTGATGGGTCATCTTGTTTTCCTTTCAGTTTGTCATTAAGTACACCTATCTGTTCTTTAAGACTGGCAACTGTCTTTTCCTGCACTTTTAGTCTGTACATAAAAAATATCAATTAACAAATATGTTATACTTGTCGTTATGCTTGTCACAGAAGGTTCAATAGTCAGAATCGTATCTCCTGTTACTAATCTTTGTCATTTGATGATCATGATGATTCCTTAAATCATAGGATTAGTCTGATGGAGAATCCCTTATGTGATTATTCTTGAAAAGATAGTAAAGTTAAATGTTTATAATGTCAGCGTAAAGTTATAATTTTTAAACGTTTCTGTATGAAATCATAAAACCTTTAATTTTTTCAGACCTTTTTAATTTGCTCTTTTGTAGCGCAGGATCTGCTAACACTTCAAAAGTAACTGAAATTACACCTAGTTTTGTTTAAAAGTGGTTTGAGTTGCTTTTGTTTTTGTTTTCATTGTTGTCGTTTGCCCAATGGCATTTTAAATTGATTGACCAGTATCATTTTTGTCTTGTCTTTCTCCTGAAAACCGTTTTTTGATTTAGAAAATTCACAATTGTTCAAGAAAAGGGTTTGCAATTTGTATTTTTGTCATTTTACTTTTTTCTTATGCCGATTGCTACGATTTAATTCATATGGTTTCAAAGAAAATAGTAAAACCTACAATTTTACAAATATAATTAATATGCCAAAAACTGAATAAATTTTGGAAAATGGTACCCAAACTGACGTTCAACACAAATTATGAAAAATTTATTGGTCATTACTTCTTAATTTATAATATGTATGTGAAGTTAGCGGCCGGGTCGTTATTCGATATTCGATATTCAATATCTAACCGGCTGCTAGCAGTCGGTTCGATATTCAAATTCAGTAGAAAATCATAAAAATTAAATATTCGATAACATTAAAAGCATGATTGTCATAGTTAAGAGGAGTGAAAAGATATGCAGGAAATCGTTTAATGACCCCATTCAAGCTGTCGTAAATTCTTAAATATAAACCCTTATGTAAGTCGCATATTTGTCCTTATGAAATATAGATTTTTATCAATAAAACGACTTCAAAGATGTACTTTTATATATAATATTTCTAAAAACAAAAACAAAAACCGATAACTCTAGAAACTTTTAGAAATATAGACAGAAATATTTATGGAAAGCCCCCCCCCCCCCAAAAGAAATGTATAGTGAAAACCTACCGGAGTCCGCTTAAATGACGGTGAGACCCCCTGGTCCTACAATGTCCATAACATTCGATGATATCTTATAATTTATATATATATAGTATCAAAAGGATTTCCCAGAATAATGTCATCTTCGATATCTACGGAGGCTTAAATTGTCACTTTTCAGCTAAACATTGTCGAAATTCAGGACAAAGGGCACAGGGCGGTGGTGAAACCCCCTTGATCTCTCAATCTTCCCAATAGTATGCAGATAGCTAGTTAATATAAAGACACAAACGTGACTAAAACGAGTTATGTGTCTTCTATGTTTACGGAGGGCTTAAAGTGCCAGTTTGATATTCAAAATATATAGTGAAAACTTACCGGAGACCGCTTAAATGATGGGTAGACCCCCTGGTCTTGCAATGTCCATAAAATTCGACGATATCTTAGACTTTGTATAAATAAAGATGGTATCAAAAGGATTTCCTAGAATAATGTCATCTTTGATATCTACGGAGGACCTAAATTGTCACTTTTCAGCTAAACATTGTCGAAAATTCAGGACAAAGGGCACAGGGCGGTGGTGAGACCCCCCTGATCTCTCAATCTTCCCAATATTATGCAGATAGTTAGTTAATATAAAGATACAAACGTGACTAAAATGAATTTGGGTAAACTTCTCTTCTTTTATGTTTACGGAGGGCTCAAAATGCCAGTTTAATATTCAAAATATATAGTGAAAACCTACCGGAGACCGCTTAATTGACGGTGAGATCCCCCTGGTCTTGTAATGTCCATAAAATTTAATAATCTTATCGAGCCCTCAATAAACATTGAAGACGAAAAGTGTACCCAATTTCCTTTCGATGTCATTTATATCTATGTATTAACTAACTATATGCATTATATTATGAAGATTGAGAGATCAAGAAGATTTAGCCAACGATATGTGCCCTTCTATCTGAATTTTTGACGATTTTCATTTGAAAAGTGACACTTTAAGCCCTCCAAACATATCGAAGATGACATTTTTTCTAGAAAATCCATTTGACAGCATCTGTATAAGTACGAAATCGACAAGATTATCAAAGGTTATATATATTGGAAGACAAGGGGGTCTCACTGTTTTTTCAGCGGTCTCCGGTAGGTTTTCACTATATATTTTGAATATCAAACTGGCACTTTGAGCACTCTATAAATTTAGAAAACGAAAAGTTTGCTTAAATTCCTTTTTATATCATTTATATCTATATATCAACTAACTTTATGTATAATATAAGAGGATTGAGAGATCAGGAAGATCTAGCAAACGCCCTCGGCCCTCTTTCCCGTATAGAGTTTGAATATTTAGTCAATCAAAAATATCTTTATGTTTGGTTTTCCATAGTTTTCTAATTATATTTTCAAATATTACTAGAGTGGCCGTTTGTTTTTGTTGTTTTTTTTTTTTTTGAAATATCGTCTTTTAAATGTACATCTCAGATTATATTTTTTTTTTTGGATAAAAATGTATATTTTATAAGGAGGAATATTCGATTTTCATAAGGGCTTATATTTGAGGACAACGAGAATTTACGATAACTTAACTTTGTCGGCAAAAAGGATTTCCTACATCTCTTAATTTTTACTCCTTTTAACTATTACTATCATGCTTTTAAAGTTGACGAATGTTTAATTTTTTATTATATTCAACTAAGAAAACTTGAAAATCGAACTGACTGCTAGCAGCCGGTTGAATATTGAATATCGAATAACGAATAACGAACAGGCTGCCAACTTCACATATTTATAATGTAATGTGCCCAAAAAGAAATTGTTTTATGTTAAAATTCAATTCATACTTTTGTTATGTGAAATGTGTAATATTTTGGCATGAATAAAAAAAATACATTGAAAGATTAAGGCCAATTGTAACCTTTAATCAGGTTAATGAACCTTCCCCTTTGATATGTGACGGACCGTCGAGAATAGGCGGTACTCTACAGATAAGGAAAATATTACAAAAGTCTGAAGATTTGTGCAACCGTAATGATATACGATAAAAACATGAAAGAAGATGTAATAAAATCGTATTAATATTGACCAAAATTTTGGCGCAATAAATGCTATCCTTATTGTCAATGTTTCTCTCAAATGTGACATTGTTTTATCATGCATATATATATGCGGGAGCGTGTGTGTGCAGGTGTGTGTGTCCTGAACAATATTTCTTACAAAGGCATTAGATCGTTATGTAAAACGATACTGTGCACAATAAATAATTTATATATACGCCTAAATTGTGTTCAGAACAACACCAATATCAAACAAAAAAAATGAAACAGTAAGTACAAATATCAATAAATATTAGGGATAATAAATATCCTTCATCAGTCTGATGTAAAATGAATTATACTTGTCTATTCTGATTTTACTCAAACAATCTTGAACGTATTACTAAATCAAACCGTACTGCGCTTATATGATTCGAAGATTTCAAAGATTACGCAGGTTAATATTGTACAACAGAGCCTGCGTACCTATGCTTAAAAAAATAGCACAGTGCGATTTGAACTTGTATACTTGTTTAATTACAAAGTTGACGAAGATAAAGAAATTACAATAGAGACTGCTGAGATATGCACCCAAAGTGAATATCATTGCGCGATTTGAACCTGTGTAATTCTAAAAGTACAAAGTTGACGGATGTTGAATAATAAAAACAGAGATTACACACATATACATCCGAAATAAACAGCACTGCGCGATTTGAACTACACCTTTTCATGATCTCATGTGGTGCCAACGTTTTTAATCTTCTTATTCAAAACATTTTCAGAGTGATTGTGTCTTCCCTAGATCAAGCATTGTTGTGGTCAATGATGGTGATAGTCAGTCGATTGAGATCTGCTTTAGTGTGGTGAGCGGAGCTCATATGTCGACTTATAGTGAGATATGGCTAACATACATAGTCACTACACGGCCGTTTTTAGGTATGTGAATCGGCTGTTCTGACTCTCCAACATATTGCTTACCACATTGACATTGATATTGTATAAGATGCACTGTAGTTGTAGTCTTGCAAGTAAAATAGCAAACTATGATGCATATCGTACCTGGAGAATGACTGTCAAAAGTCTGGATATTCAGTATCTACTTGCAAGTCAGACATCGTTTGTTCCCACAACCTTTGCAAGAGCCTGCTGAAGAGCTTGGTTAAGAGGATAACTCAGCTCTCACCAGCAAAGATGGGGATATTTTTCTACCGTTTTTAGCTTTTGATTTTTTACTTTTTTTTTTAAATGTAATGACTTATATGCTTGTTATATTCAAGCTATTCTAATTTTGTTGGATAGTGCTGAATCATTCTAATAACCCAATGTTAACAACATATGTATTACATACATGCTGATATTTAGTCATTGTGTCAATAAGTACTAGGTTAAGGATGTTCGCTACTCTCTTTCAAATTAACAAGTCTTTAAAAGACTGTTATAAAATGATAGTATATGTATAAAGAAACTAAAAAAGTAGAAAAAAATGAAGGGTCCGTGTAGTTGTTTTCGAGATATAAGCAATTGAAAAAGTGGCGGGAAATGATTCTCTCTAGATTTTTCATACTTTTAACATTGTCCGCTTTTCTCTTTTAAAAACTAGGAAAAAATAACAAGAATTTTATAAGATTGTCAAATATGGCCTTTTAAAACTATATTAAATAAAATTATGAAAAGAAAAGTAGGGGTTAGTGGACAAAAGTTTTTAATGGCAAAATATGGTTAAATCAGAGGATTCCGAAAATCTGGCAAAAAATCAAAAACAAGAGGAGCGAACATTATTAAGTTATATGTTAACGACTTCCATTACATTTATAAGAGTTATCTCTCATATTCCAGGTCTACCCCTTCAAACAATCAATCAATCAACAATCAACAATCATTCATTATATAATAATTTGGCATAAACAGGTATATTACATGTTCAACACCCATATGGTTTAAACATTATTGATGCTGTATGGTTTGACATGAGACTTTTACCAAGTTTTGGTACCTTTTCACATCATACAACTCGTAAACTCATCAACATACTTTCATCAAGTAAAAAAGGTGGATGATACCAGTAAAGTAGAAAAATTGAAACATCACAATTAAACATTCTATTAATTATATGTAAATGACCTCTTTCAGTCCAAATAATTTTCCTATTAAAACAAAGCAAATACATACGTAGGAATATGTAGGACATGGACACGAATACCTAAACAAAACCCTGAGATCACCTCCTGTTTTTGGCAGGGTTTGTATTGTGCTGTATTTAATAGACTACTGTTTGTATTCCATCGATTATCTTTTTTGTCATGGTGTTTTCTCCTCGACTTCTGATTGTTATAATTGTTCCCTTTGTATCTACCGCCTCTTTTTCACCTGTTTTTGTGAAACTTTTTATGATGGAACCATTCATATAAAGGATATCATTCTCTTCTTGATTAAACAAATTCCATCCGAGTATCGTTATTCACTGTATTATAAAAGAATTGCTGTTGAGAGAAAAAAAAAGGCGGCATTGATTGCTGTAATCTTATGTTACATTTATTCGCTGTCACATTTCTGGTTCGTTCAAAAAGCAAACGAAAAACCTGGTGTATACATAACTATAGCTTACTTTTTTTCTCTCTCTTTTATTTCTATCTTTAAATTCTTGTTTTCGTCTGACAGTTTGTTTTCCCTTTTCTCCTGTTCTTTTAATTGTCCTGAAGACCTAATTGTTAAAATTGAAAATATAAAGTTGAATTGATTTCACGTGAAAGAAATGAACACCATTAAAACAGTAATAAATTCAACATGTTTCTTACAAAATTAATAATTAATCATCATGAATATATGGGAAAGTAATTAAGAAACCAGAGGATGTAATAGAATCATATATTGACTGATTTATGCAAATACACCACGTTTAAACAATACCAAAGACAGCGTGAAATGAATCTATGTTCATGCTTGTTTTCTCACTGACCAATTAATACAGATTTTATAACATGTATACATTGTGAACATATTCAAAATGCTGTATCTATTGCTTTGAATTGTTTTTCACATTTGCGACTGATGATTCTTATCCTGAAATTTGAGTTGTACGCACTTTCCTAGTAGTTAATACCAAATGATAATAAGTTGATAAATTGAATGCTTGTGATTTTCAAATGTCAAGTAGGAGATGATTCATTGTTGAGATATTTTGTAACAAAGTCGTTTCATATTTGAAATGGTTCGATTCCGGTGTAATATAACGTGAAAAAAATTCCTTTTCCCTAGATAGAAAAATACTATAAACTGCATATATAATAGCATCATTGACAGGAAAATATATTACATTTCTTGTTCTATTTCAAAATTTATTAATGTAGAAGTTGATATTTAAAACACTTGTATATTGTATGTCTTTTACATGTGAAAATTATAGGTTTATATATGATATATAAGTATTCACGATATCATAAGCGACCTTCATATTTTCTATGAACAAAAAGGGGGGGGGGGGGGGTGGGATGTATCAGAAAGAGAAACCGAACTATCTCATAATTTCATAGTTTTCCCGATAAAATTAGTTATTTCATTATCGGTTCTTCTTCATATTTTTTTTCTTCTGCAATGGTTGATGTAGAATGAAAAGCTAATTACAATATCGTTGATTTTTTTCTTACGATAACGGACGAAATTTGTTGGAAATCGAAATAAACATTTCTAAATAAGATAACACGTAATCGTTCCTTTTAAACGATTTTATGGTCTAAAATTTAACATTACAAAAAATAGTCTTCATTATGTCGGACGTTCGTGTCATAATAAAAACTAACTACAGATAAACAAATTTCTGCTACGGTTTTTCATCAACTTGTAAAACGAAAAGATCGTAAACGAATATACTAAAAACTAACCACAGATAAAACAATTCTATTACGGATTTTACGTCAACTTGTTAGACGAAAAAATCGTAAACGAAAACTTTCAACAACGAATTAACTGAAAGCAGCTACCGACCCGAACAAGGATTTTTACCAGGTATTTGATTCATTGCTTGAGAAACCATGTGCACATCGTTTATAAATCATAATAATATCAAGTAATTGCTCAAATATAACTAGTCCGCTTTTTCCAACTAGTGCTCTTAAGGCCTTCAAAAACTTTTTTGTAAATCGGGACAAGGCAAACGTCTTCTTCAATTATCTTATCTAATCAAATATGTTTTGTCAATCTCGGTGTTACAATGCATATTATAATTTTGAATTCGGTAATTGATAGTCCAATGGTGCTAAATGAGAGGCATTTGTTGTGTATCAAGGTTTAAATCTCATGAATCCATTAAAATATATAAACAAATGTAAAGCAAATGAGGAAAATGCAATAAATAAATCGGGTTCATTGAGAGTAAATAATCATTTAATCATTGATAGAGAAAAGGTCATATTTGCTTAGTCTACAAGTTCCGACGAATATTCTGGTATCTGAAATCTAAAATCACTAGATTTTTAGACCTAAAATTCTCACTCAACAATCCATGTTTTACCCAAATACACAATATCATTTTTTATGTGATTTCCTTCCTTCTAAATTCGATTTTAAAAAGTGACAATTGTTGTTTGTAGACATTAATATTAAAGTTACTGGTACAATAATCTATCTGTATATAAAAATGTGTGGCAAACAGAAGAAATCGCACTATCATCCAGTAAATATTCCTATCATTGATGTTGATAGTCTTATGGTGTCTCATGTTTGTGTTTACAGTTCTCAAATGATTCAGTATCCACGTTTTGTTGTGAAATCTCATATTTCAATGAATTTAACTCTTTCATTCCTAAAAACCTTTAAACACAAAGATGCAAATATCATTTATCGGTAAAATGCTTAGTCATCCACATAATTCCTGTGTCGGTCTTCGTTTGTTGGTGTTAATGAGGTTGAACGCTTATTGGTATAGCGAGTTGTGCACTATAACAGTCAGGATTCTACTTCGTCAAAGTTATCGCCTCATTACGCCAACTAATTTTTATAATCGTAAAAATGAAAGCCATTGTAGTGATGACGCGCTGTCAATGTAGCTCTCGAAAACCGACCAATTTATCCACATAGCATTACGACGAACCTTATTTGCCAGTTTTATTGTCTGATCAGTTTTCAGAGGGAATTTTTGAAAGTTCATAAATATTTCAAACAAAAAAAAATCGAATTTAATAATTCGTGGAAGGGCAGATTAATCATTTTTCATTCAAATCATTTTTTGAAGTCATGCACTTTTACAATCCACTTGAAAAGTCTGTCGTTAAGTACCTTTAGTAAAAATTTGTAAATCGGACACACCTTTTTTATGACTCATAAGATAGGTATTTCACTTGACCCATACGTCCCTTACTGTTGTTTGTAGGGTTTGTATTGTGCTGTTCTTGATAGACTACTGTTTGTGTTCCATCGATTATCTTTTCGATTATGGTGTTTTCTCTTCGACTTCTGATTGTTATTGTTTCCTTTGTATCTTACGCCTCTTTTTCACCTGTTTTTGTGAAAACCTTTTATGATGGACACATTCTTAGTGAAAATATCATTCCCTTCTTGATAAAACAAATTCCAGCCAAGTATCGTTATTCACTGTACTATAAAAGAATTGGTGTTTAAAGAAAAAAAAGGTGACATTGCTTACTGAAATCTTATGTTATATCTATTCGCTTTTCACATATCTGGTTCGTTTAAAAAGCAAACGAAAGACCTGGTGGATACATAACTATAGCTTACTTTTTTTCTCTCTCTTTTATTTCTGTCTTTAAATTCTTGTTTTTGTCCGACAGTTCGGTTATCTTTTTCTCCTTTTCTTTTAATTGTCCTGATACCCTAATTGTTTAAATTTAAAATATAAAGTTGATTTTATTTCACGTGCAAGAAATGCACATCATACAAACAGTAATCAACTAAACATGTTTATAACAAAATTAATAATAATCATCATAGATATAAGGGAGAGTAATTAAGAAACCAGAAGATGTAATAAAATCATATATTGAATGATTTACTAGCCATATACAACACGTTTAAACAATACCAAAGCCAGCGTGAAATGCACCTACGTCCATGTTTGTTTTCGCACTGACCAATTAATAAGATTTTATATTATGTATATATTGTGAACATATTCAAAATGCTGTATCTATTGTTTGAATTGTGTTATACACTTTCGACGGATGATTCTTATACTGGAACTCGAGTTGTATGCACTTTCCTAGTAGTTAATACCAAATGAATATAAGTTAATTTATTATACCTCAGTATGTTTTATCAATATAAAAAAGAATGAAATATTTGTGCTATTTCATTTCATAGACTATTTGCCAGTCAATAGTTTCAGACTATTACCCCGGTTAATAGTTTAATAAACATATTTCCCGTACTTTTTCATAGTAATTTTTCATTGGACAAAAATGACGTCATTTACTAGTCTGCTTTGATATGTGCGCTTGGCAACGTTTAAGTCTGAAATACCGTAAACGGTATTATCTGTATGTGTCTGTCGTCGTAATTTCAAATTAATATATTACTTACAGAAGCAATTAAACAAGAAAAAGAAAATATATGCGACATATTTCAAGAACTAAAACAAATGTATGGTATGGGTCTGTAAATGATTATAAGTTAATAAATTGAATGCATGTGATTTGCTAATGTTAAGTAGGAGATTATTCATTGTTGAGATATTTTTTTCGGATCTTTTGGAAGAGAGTCGTCTCATATTTGAGATATCTCGAATTCGGTGTAATGTATCGTGAAAACAAATTCCCTTTCACTAGATAGACAAATACTCTAAACTGCATATATGATAGCATCATTTAAAAGGAAAATATATCTTAAATTTTGTATGTTGTAATAATGGACATTATCCACACAAGTAACCTCAAAGTAAAGGATGATATGCCACTCATGATAAAAATATCATTGACAATACTTCCAACAATTCTCTAAGTCTTTCAAATGTCTCAAAAAACAGTTGAAATGCTTTTTAACTAGGTTCCATTCTTAAAAAATATTTTACACCAAATAAGGTTTTTTTCCTGTATTACTAGCTATATATAAAATACTGATCAAAATAACAGGGCAGAGAATTGAGACACTAATTGATTTTAAAGATAACTATGTTCACTGATGAATTGATTTGATGACTTTTAAATAAATACATTTCCTGTTCTATTTCAAAATTTATTGAGTAAACGTAGAAGTTGACATTGAAAACATTTGTATATTGTATGTCTTTTACATGTGAAAATTATAGGTTTATATATGATATATTAGTATTCACGCTTTTATAAGCGACCTTCATATTTTCTATGATCAAAGGGTGGGGATGTATCAGAAAAAGGGACCGGACTATTTCATAATTTCATAATTTTCCTGATAAAATTAGTTATTTCATTATCGGACCTCTTTTCTTTTATTCTACTGCAATGGTTTGATGTAGAAGTAAAAAGCTAATAGAAATATGATTGATTTTTTCTTCCGATAACGGACGAAATTTGTTGAAAATCGAAATAAACATTTCGAAAGTAAGATAACACGTAATCGTTCCTTTTAAACGATGTCATGGTATAAAATTAATTATTAAAAAAAAACTTCAAAATGTTGCACGATCGTGTCATACTAAAATCTAACTACAGATGAACAAGTTCTATTACGGTTTTTACGTCAACTGGAACATTGTTGTAAGACGAAAAGATCGTAAACGAACATGTTTCAACAACAAATGAATTGAAAGTAGCTACCGACCCGAATAAGGCTTTTGCTAGGTTTTTGATTCATTGCTTGGCAAACCTTACACATATCGTTTATAAATTGTAATAATATCAAGTAAGGGCTCAAATATAACTAGTTCGCTTCTTCTTACTTGTGCTTTTAAGGCCTGCAAAAACTCGTTTTTAAAAATTGTGGAAGGCAAAGGTCATCTTCAATTATCTTATCTAATCAAATATATTTTGTCAATCTGGGTTTTACAATACATTTTATAATTTTGAATTAGGTAATTGATAGTCCAATGGTGCTAAATGAGAGGCACTTGTTGTGTATCAAGGTTTAAATCTCATGAATCCATTTAGAATATATAAACAAATGTAAAGCAAATGAGGGAAATTCAATAAAGTAAATTAGTTTCATTGACAGTAAATAATCATATAATCATATACATAGAAAAGGTACAAATTGCTTAGTCTACAAGTTCCGACGAATATTCTGGTATCTTAAATCTAAAATAACTTGATTTTCAAACTATATATTATTATTGAATAATCCATGCTGACCAAAATATGCAATGACATTTTCTATCTGATTTCCTTCCTTATAAATTCGATGTTAAAAGTGATTATGTAGGCCTTGATATTGAAATTAAGAAGTTACGGTTAATCATGGCTTGACCGCAGTCGTCATCAAACCATGGTTTGCTGGTTTCTTTTCGGATTTGCCTTAGTCTTAGAAATTGTTCTGTCAAAGTTAAAATCTGAAATTCGTCAGCTTTTAACAACTTCGATTTTAACTCTGCTTTACAAAATGTCGCAAACAAAGGTCAACTAGCCCTGTTCATTTAGACATTTATGCATTTAGAGAAAAGGTCACAATTGGTAATTATACAAGTTCTTACGGATATTCTGGTATCTTGAATATAAGAACACTACATTTTCAGACTATAATATAAATTCTCATTCAACAATCCATGTTTTACCCAAAAATACAATGACATTTTCTATCTGTTTCCCTTCATTCTGAATTCGATGTTAAAAGTAAGAATTATCGTTTGAAGACAATGATATTAAAGTTACCGGCACAAGTAGTCTATCTGTATACAAAAGTGTGTGACAAACAGAAGAAATCGCACTATCATCATGATCATCAAGTTAATATTCCTATTATTGATGTTGATATTCCTATGGTGTTTACAGTTCTCAAATAATTCAGTATCCACGTGTCTGTTGTGAAATATCATATTTCAATGATTTTAACTCTTTTATTCATAAAAACCTTTAAACACAAAGATGCAAATATCATTTATCGGTAAAATGTTTTGTCATCCACATAATTCCTGTGTCGGGTTTCGTTCGTTGGTGTTAATAATGTTGAACGCTAATTGATATAGCGAGTTGTGCACTTTACCAGTCAGGATTCTACTTAGTCAAAATTATCTCCCCATGACGCCACCTAATGTTTATAATCGTTAAATTGAAAACCATTGTAGTGATGACGCCCTGTCAATGTAGCTCTTGAAAACCGTTTAATTTATCCACATAGCATTACTACGAACCTTATTTCCCAGTTTTATTGAAAAGACAAATGTATCTACCAGCTATTGAGCATCAGTTAATGTACTTTTATACATTTGTTCAACTTAAAACTATTTTCTGATGACTCATTAGAAAGGTGTTTTACTTGACCCATATATCACCTCCTGTTTTGATGGGGTTTGTATTGTGCTATACATGATAGACTACTGTTTGTGTTCCATCGATTTTCTTTTTGGTCATGGTGTTTTCTGCTCGACATTTGATTGTTATTGTTCCATTTGTATCTTCCGCCTCTTTTTCACCTGTTTTTTGTGAAAACTTTTTATGCTGGAAACATTCTTACAAAGGATATCATTACCTTCTTGATAAAATAAATTCCAGCCGGGTACCGTTGTTCACTGTACTATAAAAGAATTGCTGTTGAGAGAAAAAAAAGGTGGCATTGCTTGCTATAATCTTATGTTATATTTATTCGCTTTTCACATTTCTGGTTTGTTCAAAAAGCAAACAAACAACCTTGTGGATACATAACTATAGCTTACTTTTTTTCTCTCTCTTTTATTTCTGTCTTTAAATTCTTGTTTTCGTCTGACAGTTTAGTTACCCTTTTCTCCTGTTCTTTTAATTGTCCTGAAGACCTAATTGTTAAAATTAAAAATATAAAGTTGAATTGATTTCACGTGAAAGAAATGAACACCATTAAAACAGTAATAAATTCAACATGTTTATTACAAAATTAATAATAATCATCATAAATATAGGGGAAAGTAATTAAGAAACCAGAGGATGTAATAGAATCATATATTGACTGATTTACTAGGCAAATACAACACGTTTAAAGAATACCAAAAAACAGCGTAAAATGAACCTATGTTCATGCTTGGTTTCTCACTGACCAATTAATAAAGATTTTATAACATGTATACATTGTGAACATATTCAAAATGCTGTATCTATTTTTATGCCCCACCTAGGAGCATTTTTTGGTCTGTGCGTTTGTTCGTCCGTCTGTCCGTCCGTTCGTCCATCCGTCCGTCTATCCCTATTCAGGTTAAAGTCCAACCAACTTGACATTTAGAACACATGTTCCCTATGATATGATCTTTTTAATTTAAATGTCAAATTAGAGTTTTGTTCCCAATTTCACGGTCCAATGAACATTGCAAATGACAGTTTGAATAGGGCATCCGTGTACTATGGACACATTCTTGTTTTAATTGTGTTTCACATTTCGACTGATGACTCTTATACTGGAATTTGAGTTGTACGCACTTTTCTAGTAGTTAAGTTAATAAATTGAACGCTTGTGATTTTTCAAATGTCAAGAAGGAGATGATTCACTATTGAGAAAATTTGTTCGGATGCTTTGCAAGAGAGTCGTCTCATATTTGAGAAGACTCGAGTCCCGTGTAATATAACGTGAAAACAAATTCCGTCTCCCTATATATAAAAATACTCTTAACGATAGCATCATTTGACAGGAAAATATATCTTAAATTTTGTATGTTGTAATATGGACATTATCCACACAAATAACGGTAAAAGTTGATATATCAATCGTGATAAAAATATTATTGACAACACTTCTAACAATTTTCTAAATCTTTCAAATATCTCAAAAACAGTTGAAAATCCTTTTAAATAGGTTCCATTCTTGAAAAAATATTTTACACCATATTCTATAGCAGATAGAAATAACTTATCCTTCTGTCAATCAAATAGATACATTTACTCTTCTTTTTCAAAATTTATTGATGTAGAAGTTGATATTGAAAACATTTGTATATTGTATGTCTTTTACATGTGAAATTTATAGGTATATTAGTATTCACGATATTATAAGATACCTTCGTATTTTCTATGATCTGCGGGTGGGGATGTATCAGAAAAAAAAGGGACCGAACTATCTCATAAGTTCATAATTTTGCCGATAAAATTTGTTATTTCATTATCGACCTCCATCCTTTTTTCTTACTGCAATGGTTGATGAAGAAGTAAATAGCTAAAAAACAAATCATTGAAATTTTCTTCCGATAACGGACGAAATTTGTGGAAAATCGAAATAAACATTTCCAAAGCAAGATACCACGTAACCGTTCCTTTTAAACGATTTCATGGTCTAAAATGAATATTGAAAAAAAGTCTTCATTATGCTGGACGTTCGTGTCATACTAAAAACTAACTACAGATAAAACAATTCTATTACGGGTTTTACATCAACTTGTAAGACGAAAAGTCGTAAACGAACACTTTCAACAACGAATGAACTGAAAGCAGCTACCGATCCGAACAAGTCTTTTTCCAGGTATTTGATTCATTGCTTTTGAAACCTTATACACATCGTTTATAAATTGTAATACTATCAAGTAACTGCTCAAATATAACTAGTTCGCTTCTTCTAACTAGTGCACTTAAGGCCTTCAAAAACTCTTTTTTTTAAATTGGGGAAGGCAAACGTCATCTTCAATTATCTTATCTTATCAAATGTATATATTTGTCAATCTGGATTTTACAATACATTTTATAATTTTGAATTAGGTAATTGATAGTCAAATGGTGCTAAATGAGAGGCACTTGTAGTGTATCAAGGTTGAAATCTCATGAATCCATTAAGAATATATCAACAAATGTAAAGCAAATGGAGGAAATGCAATAAAGTAAATTAGTTTCATTGACACTAAATAATCATATAACCATATAGAAAAGGTAAAAATTGCTTAAGCTACATGTTCCGACGAATATTCAGGTATCTTAAATCTAAAACCACTTGATTTTCAAACTATATATTATCATTCAATAGTCGATGTTGACCAAAATTTGCAATGACATTTTCTATCTGATTTCCTTCCTTCTAAATTCGATGTTAAAAGTGATTATGTAGGCCTTGATATTGAAATTAGGAAGTTACGGTTAATCATGGCTTCACCACAGTCGTCATCAAACCATGGTTTGTTGGGTTTTTTCTGATTTGCCTTAGTCTTAGGAATTGTTCTGTCAACAATTGACGTTAAAACTGTATTAAAAGTTAAAATCGGAACTTCGTTAGCTTTTAACAACTTTGATTGTAACGCTTCTCTACAAAAAGTCTCAAACAAAGGCCACTTAGCCCTGTTCGTTTAGACATCTAATCATTTAGAGAAAATGTCACATTTGGTAATTCTACAAGTTCCTACGAATATTCTGATATCTTGAATATAAGAACACTTAATTTTCAGACTATAAATTTTCAATAAACAATCCATGTTTTACCCAAATACACAATAACATTATCTATCTGATTTCCTTCCTTTTAAATTCAATGTTAAAAGTGACAGTTGTCGATTGTAGACATTGATATTAAAGTTACTGGTAAAAGTAATCTATCTGTATACAAAAGTGTGTGACGAACAGAAAAAATCGCACTATCATCCAGTTAATATTCCTATCATTGATGTTGAATATTTAAGAAAAAAACTAATAAAATATTTCGTGGAAGGGCAGACTAACAATGCAGAGGTTGAAGACTGATAACCCTAGATACAGTCTATGGAAGAAGCGAATCGATAAAAAACGTTTCTTATATGAAATAGCGATATTGTTTAATATGAAATTGTTAATATGCAGACACTCATTGCGGAAAAGGTTGTTTTCGGCAATGAAAAATATGTTTTGTTGAGAAAATACCAACTTTAAAACATTTTGTTCAAATACAAACAACTATTAAGTCTAAATATATATTCAATAGTTAGTTAAAAGCAAAAGTTTATGTTCGTGTAAAATTTTAAGTGCTGTATTTTTCTTATGTACATAAATAAACAAATGCTATCAATTATAATATGAATGCGATAATTTTAAAATATGATAGCAGTATTTTTTTAATATCACTATAAGTAACATTGTATGTTAATAAGCAAGTTTAAGGTCACTGCTTGACGTCAAAATATTGTGTTTGCATCTTTTCAACAGGAAAAGCTTTGATATTCAATAAGAACTGTTTTTCCCTTTCAACAAGTTTTTCAATGTTAATAATAAATACATCTCCTGTTTGACAATATATCGGCATTCACCTCAAAGGCTAACCAAACCTTTTTTCAGAAGGGATATAGTTACGATAATGTGGTCAGGTCATTAAAGTATGGCATATTTTTTATAAATATTGATTCATTCATAGGGTCTTTGCATCGGAAATCACATTTATTCTAAAAACAAGATACGGGTTGTGTTCTTCACATGTATTTTATGATGGTATAATACTAAACCGCTTACGGGAGGATTGTGCTTTATCTTTATATGATGAAGACATAATATTTAATCAGTTTAGTTGACGTCTGGAGCTGGCATGTCAGTAACTGCTAGTAGTCCTTTGTTAATTAATTTGTGTATCATTGTCAATTTGCTTAGTTTCTTTTGTTACCTATTCTGACATTGGACTCGGATTTCTTTTGAACTGAGTTTAACTGGGCGTATTGCTGTGTGTTTGTTTATTTTACATTGGCTAGTGGTATAGGGGAGGGTTGAGATCTCACTAAACCTGTTTAACCCTGCCGCATTGTTGCGCCTGTCCCAAATCAGAAGCCTCTGGCCTTTGTTAGTCTTTTATGTTTTTTTTAATTTTAGTTTATTTACATGTTTTGCAGTTTAGTGTGACGTCCATTTTCACTTTTTGTTTAGGGGCCAGCTGAATCACGCCCCGACTGCAGGATTTTCTCGCTGTGTTGAAGACCCATTGGTGGCTTTCGGCTATTTTCTGCTCTTTGGTCGGGTTGTTGTCTCTTTGACACATTCCCCATTTCCATTCTCAATTTTTTTCGGCTGTTTTCTGTCATTTTGTCGGGTTGTTGTCTCTTTGACATATTCCCTATTTCAATTCTCAATTCTTTTTTTATTCGTGGTATCTGAAGTTGTTTTATTTATAGTCTGAGTCTGCTCAATTGGATGACAGATGGTATCTTCAAAGTTCGGGACAACAGTAATTGTACATTTTTCTTTGTTTGGAATAATTTTTTTCTATTTGAATATTCATTTTCAGGTGTAATTGGGAACCGTATTGGATTGAATTGTTTGTCTGAATGTTTTTCTTTCTTTTGAGAAATAATATTTATTTGTCTTTGTGGATATTTAAAGCATGACCTATGATAAAATCAAGTAGGTCGGTAGAATATTTACAGAAGCCACATTTGAATTCCGCCATAGCATCATCACTGAGAATAGAATTACTCGGTATAACCATGTGATCGAAATGATGGACTTAGCAGGTTGTTAACACTGTCAACTATCGATAGGGTAAAACAACATTTTTCGACATGATTAGTACATTTAAGCGTTAAGGTACGAAATTTTAGTGATATTTTTCCTATAATATTAAACCTGTCATGAACTATAATTGTGAATCATGTTTCCAGTTTTCTTGACATACATTGTGATTTGTTGTCGTTCTTATTTTATATAGGAAAACTATCGCAGTTATATAAGAAAAATATTGCATCCATAAATTTCTCATATTAAAACACATCGCTGTTATATTAGAAAAATATCGCATTCATATTATAAAATATAGCAGTATCATTGAATTATAGGTGATTTTGGTTTAGAAAAAAATTGAATTCATCGAAATTGCATTCCATTAATTTTGCTACGTGATAATAATTGCATGTGTACATCTACAAAATTTTAATGATAAATCGTGCATTTATTTTTCTTTTATTCAACATATCGATTTTGTCGTATTACTACAACTTATTTGCTATTACATATCACAATTAATGAAAGTTATACAGGCAGACGTTTGTCGTATTAAATGCTAACCTGTTTTAAGAATGATAGTCTTTAATTACCGAGAAATCTTCCTTTTTTCATAGAAATGTAAAACTTCGTCTGAGATTTCCCACACTGTACCTCGTTCATATTAGACAATATCGCTTTTTCATATAAGAAACGTTTTTATCGATTCACTTCTTCCATAGACTGAGATAACACACACACAAAACAATTTTGTTTAAGTTAAGCATTTGCACTTGAAAGATCTGTCGTCAAGTACTTTTAATAAAAATTTGTTAATCGAACACATCTTCTTTGTTGTTATGATTCATTAGAAAGGTATTACACTTGACCCATATATTTAATTTTTTAGTACTGTAAATTTTTAATGTTATTATATCAACCTAAAGCCTAAACATATAAAAATAATAGAATCTGAAGCGAGCTAATGTATCAAAAAATTTTCTTTTATACGTTTTCAAGCAAGACACAATAGTCAACTCAAACACGCCTGAACATAAAAAGGTGTACTCGACTTTCTCTTTTCGATGAAATTATTGTCCATTTTTGGGATTTTTTCCCATAAAGCTGTCGCAGGGGCAAAGATGCAAATTAATGCTTTAAAAAAGATCAATCTATTATCATTCCATAGATGGTTTTGCGGTGGAGTTTATTCTTATGCACAAAAAACAACCACATGTATTTGCAACTACCACAATCGACTGTTTTGTGAACATTTCTCTATTATTTAAAAGTTTACAAATATCCCGAAGCTCCGTACCATAGTTTAAGTAAAACACATATATAAGATGCATAAAATCCTTGGTTCGGAACATGTGATTTAATCGGTATACCTAATTTTTTTATCGAAAACGTATAGATTGCGTTGAAATATAAAAGCTTCATTATGCTCAGCGCAACAATTTATATACACACAAATACATGCACAAATTTGTATAGAGCAAGATTTGTCCGAAACAAAAAAAGTGTCAATCAAGCCTTAACATTGTGATCACTAGTTGTGCTCTCTGTACTACTGTGAACGTTGAGGGGATGAATGCTTATATTGCACTGAGTTTGATAAATGATTTTGTTCCAGAATTCATACAGCCAAAGCAAAAATGTCTAAAAAAAAAAAATTTCAGAAACTATACAAATGCAAGATTCAAATCGCAATCAGCAAGGTTTGAAGGCTGAACTTCAACAACAGAAAACTAGGTAATAATGACGCAATTAATAAGAGGCAGATAACTGATCTTCCAAACTCGTGTGTCCACTCTAGTATATAAAACAATATATATAACATGAGTGCTTCGCATCATCTGTAACTGGAGCAGAAGTTGGAGCGTCGACGGACTAAACGTCTTCTGCTATGCATTCATCTTCCGCAATATAAAATATCTTCTAAAAGTAAAAATATTGAATGTAAAAAAAATGTTCAAAACCTTGTTGTAGGAATGACTTACATGTTGGGCATACCATTGCTAATCAACCCGTAAAATATCCTATGAATTCTACACGTGTATTTACTAAATGTATCAAAGGTAAACAGTTATGAATTATTTAAGCATAATTTGAAATCTTATTTATCGAATGTAGATTTACTGCAGAAATTTATAATGAGACACAATGAATCAGTTTAACACAAAACTTAAAGTTTCGGCATTGTTAACATATAAATATAAACTGAAACAGAAACTTATCTTTACACTAGATATCTGTTCACTTTTAACATTTGTTTAGTATTACTATTAAAAGCGGTGTACGGCATATGCCCATGAAACAATGTCAATCTATGTTCTCCTCTGAAGAAGGTAAATGAAACTCAATTAGCAAATAATCAATGTAATGTTCTTTATCACGATGTTCCAATGCTTGTCAATCATATGTAAATCAAGGTTTCCAAATTTTCTTTTCATATTTTTTTTATCACTTCTTGAATCGTATTCTTCTCTAAAAGTACAAATCCAGATCTTGAAAAGTATTTTTTATCAAGATCTTTTAAAATAACGTATTTCGTGTATTGATGTCAAGTGCACAACTGACGGCAAATTTTTCAGTCATATTTTCATGTTTTTTCTCTGAAAATGCAAATGCTGGTATGACACAAATCTTGTAAGAAGGAGTAGATGGAAAGCCTTATAGAAGAAAATTCAAATTAGTCATTCGACAACACGGTCGCCTAACCTTTAGAGTAATGATAGAAAGGACCCTCTGTAAAAAAGAAAATTCCGGTTCACATATATGATTTTCCTGAATTATGGGGGACAATATAGCATTTACTCAATGCTCTCTAATAACATGAAAACTTGGCGGAAAAAATGTAGGATACCAGGTTGTAGTTATTAAAACTCACTATCCTTTTACATAAGACTGATAAGTTTATGTCGAATGTCAACAATGGGGACACGTTGATATTCAATTTTGTGGGAATCACACTGTTTGGTTTATCTGACAGCAAAGACATACTTAGAATTAGAGTTACTTTAAATAATTACTGTAAATTCAGAAATTATTCCAATGTTTTTATCAATAAAAAAATGCGATAGAATCAGGTTCGCAATTATATAAAGTAGCGTTTATCATGTACATAATCTCAATGATGATTTTTGGTTCTTTCTTAATTGCATTAATTAGATATCGCATTTTGGCAGTGGTAAACAATTCGCAATAACGAGTGAAAGTATTACTTTACAGTAAGTGTGGCATTCCACTAAAGTCTCACTTTTTTGTTTCTATCAAATTTACAAACATCTATTACAGGTTATTATGTTTCTGATTGGTTAATGTTTAAATAATCCCCAAGGAAACTACAGGACCATATCTTATCAAACAGTTTAGGACAGATAATTGGGAACTTCCATTAAGCATTAAGTCACATAATGTTGTCAGCTGATATCATATTCGACAGCTATAATTCCTTATAGGTATCACATGAACACTACAAATAATCACGATTTTCATTTTTATTGATTTATTTGAGCTGCGTCGGATAGGAATCGACATTATACAGGTGTGCGTATACATGTTTAAGCCTTTGATTGATTTTAGAACATTCAAATACGAAATAAAAAATGAAGTTTGGTCTATCTGTAGACTTCCCATAGAGATTTTTCAACCTGAATTATGTATGTTAACATATTTGTATATATTCATTTGCATAAGGTCGATTTCTATCCGACACAGCTCGTTTGTAGTCTGAAACGCATTTATCTGTTATAATTAAAGGTCAGTCTTTTACGCATATATTTCCTTTATTTTCGATTTTGTGTAGTAAACTTGTGAGATAGAAACAATCATTATGTTAATAAGGTCGATTTTTTTTAATTTGAAATAATTTAAATTGATTTAATGTAGTAGAAATCCATACAAGGAGACTCACTTTGATAGGCCATCTATTTGTACTTGTTTTTCTTTCAGTTTGTTTTTAAGTACATCCATCTCATCTGTAAAAATGGGAACTGTCTTTACCTGCTCTTTCAGTCTGTACATAAAGGATATCAATAAACAAACATGTAATATCTGTCGTTATGCTTTTCACAGAATCAAATGAACTCAGATATGCTAGGAAAACTTTTCTATAGCGACGTCTTAATAGGAGGTTCGATAGTCAAAATAATACATGTACCTCATTACAAATTTCTGTCATTAAATACTTTCAGTCATAGGAAAATGCTGATGATAAAACACGTTCTCAAAAAAAAATATTCTGGAAAAAAAGTACATTCAACAACTCTAGATGCCTGAACAACAACAGCATTCATTAATTTATTAACCAAGCTAATATTCATTACGAATGCCTTTAATTTTCGACATATTGCTTTACAACTCTTAATTGTAATGACAAATTTAACGTATGTGTCATATGTATAGCATTCATTTATTTTAAGATGTCACCAAACTGATTTAATTATTATAGCCATTTGAATTGATATGAAACAAAACGCAAACAGAACGCACCTTTAACATTCCCTTTCATAAGCACATGAGTCTGTATCAATTCGATATGTTGATAATGAAGATGCCAAAGGGACTATCAAACACGAGATGATTTTTGGTTTGTAAATTGTCCCTTTTTAGATGATGACGTTCCCTTGGCACCATCCTATGGTGTTTATATATCTCAACTAGTTCGATTCGCTCGTGTATGTTACAACATATTTGATGTTAACGAAAGAAATCTCTGTATTACAGAAACATTATTACACCAGGGTTTTCGATATCACAAACTAATCAAAACATTTACTAAATGTTATCGTCGGTACAAGGACTTCATTCGTAATATAATTCAAGGTGCAGACATCTTTTACGTTCAGGTATTTCACATCCTATCTTTTATGATAATATTCTATACAAAGCACAAAATGTCGTCACTCAAAAGCTAACCAATCCTTATACCAGACTTTTTTGAGAGGGATATAGATGTAGTCACGATACTGTTGTCAGGTCATTAAAGATGGCATTTATTGGAATTAATATTGATTCACTAATAGGGTCTTTGCATCGGAAAAAAACACAGTTATTCTAAAACCAGTTGTTTTCTCGTATATTTTATGATGGTATGATACTAAACTCCTAACGGAATGGATTGTGTTGATTTTGATATGATGAGGACAATCATTTTAACTAAGGTCTTGAGCTGGCATGTCAGTAACTACTAGTAGTCCTTTGTTAATTTATGCTAATTATTGTCATTTTGCTTAGTTTCTTCTATTACCTATTCTAACATCGGACTCGGACTTCTTTTGTCAGGACACTCTAGCATTTGTTAGACTTGTATGGTTTTTAAATTTTTGTTCATTTATATGTTTCAGAGTTTAGTGTGACGTCCGTTAGCTGAACTAGTATACATTATTGTTTAGGGCCAGCTGATGCCCGCCTCGGAGTTCGGGATTTTCTCGCTGTGTTGAAGACCCATTGGTGGCCTTTGGTTGTTTTCTGCTTTTTGGTCTGGTTGTTGTCTCTTTTACGCAGTCCCCGTTTCCATGTACAATTTTATTTTACCATTATAGGACACAAACTGTATTTGCCATGACAAAAATAAAACCAAAAAACGGCAAAACGACAAACAATAGAAAACAAAAAGAAACACATAAAAACAAAGACTGAGCTACATGAACCCCACAAAATACATGGAGTGATCTCAAGTGTTTTGGAACGGTAAGAATATTTTTCTCCACATGGGACACCCGATGTGTTGCTCGTGTAAGTATAAACCAGGTGATAATTCAAATATGGAAGGTCACATTTGAGGAAAAGAGAATGTCAGTGTGGTTACAGTTAGAACTGTTTGTAGGTGAAACAAATATTCCATAACGGTTAACCAACTCTAAAATTGATTGGCAAAAATGTTTCTCTGAATGGATAAAACTACAATGCTAAAACATAATTTTCAATATTATTAAGCTTTGAGACAGGAAGTTTTTGAGAAAAGCAAATGAGTGGAGATACACTTGATTTATGAGGACTGATGTACTTTCACTAGTAGCGAGATTTCAGTCTGAAACGGTCATTTTGGTCAGATTAAGTCTTATTCGACTTAATTTACCGCGAGAGAAAAACGTCAAGACTTTTCCAAACTTTCAGACGCAGTTCCGATCGATACTCCCATCAGCTAATTCAGTCCGTTAAGACATGTCAAGATTAAGAAGATGGAGTGTTCTAGCGAGCGATTAAGATCTGTTATGACGGTTTCAGACGAAATCAGACCATGGATACAAAATTACGTTAAGATGTTGTCAGACGTGTTCAGTCGTGTTCAGTCGTGTTCAGATTTTAATAATTTTGATACAAAACGGGTGAAACTTACCCGGTATGTATCAGGGGTTGCTCCCCTTTAAAAATAAAATCAAAAACAAAAAGATGACGTTCTTTTATCTCTGAGTCATGTTTCTAAAATCTATTTCGTTAAGTATCCTCTTATCCTTAAATCTTTTTCTTTCTACGTAGATCTAATTGTTAAATATTTTTTTTGTAATAAAATAAGTTTACTGGTTCTTGTTCAACGTGATACGGTTTCAAAAGTGAAATGAATATATCTGTATATAAAAGGTCAATATTAAATTGCAGGATAAAAACATTATTCGTACATTGAAGGAAGATATAAAATGTAATATTTATCAATATAAAAGTCGCTACGGAAACGGAGAAAAACCTCGCTTTTCTTAAAGCTCGTCAAATAAATTTTATAGTTACATACACTGTACAAATATTTTATATATGAAATTACATGTTTGAAAAATATCAGTTAAAAATTTATGGAAGGTCTTTTAGAAATATATTTTTTTATATATCCGATTTGACATTGAAACCGGAAAGAAAAAGAAAAAAAAAATCAATATGGTAATACCTTAAGATTAATTAAAACGGTTTAATTTAGTCGAAATCCAGCCATGGGGACTTACTTTGATAGGTTATCTACTTGTTCTTGTTGTTCTTTCAGTTTGTCTTTCAGTGCACTATTCTCGGATGTAAGATTGGTAACTTTTTTTTCCTGCTCTTTCAGTCTGTACATAAAAGATACATGTATCAATAAAGAAGTATGTTATATTTGTCGTTATGCTTGTCATAAAAGGTACTAGTCAGGATTTTATCTCCTGTTAGTAATCTTGGTCATTAGTGGAGTTTTTTGAGATCATAGGACAAGTCTAAAGGAGAATCCCTTCTGTGATTATTTTTGAAAGATTGTAAAGCAAAACGTTCAAAATGCCAACTTCTTTTAACTTTTTTGAGCTTCTGCATAAATTTATAAAATTTTGAGCTCTTTCATATCTTTTTAAATTGCTCTTTCGTGGAGCAGGATCATATTACACTCAAAGAGTATCTGATATTACCTTTAGTTTTGTTTAAAAATTGTTTGAGTTGCTTTTGCGTTTGTTTTCACTGGTGTTCTTTGTCCATTTTTATGTTAAAATGCCAACATTTTTTTGACCGGTATCATGTTTGTCTTTTCTTTCTCATGAAACCTTGTTTAATTTCAAAGTTTCACATTCGGTCAAGAATATGGTTAGACAATTACTTATGTTGATTGGTACGATTCAATTCATAAGGTTTCACAGAAAAGATCAAAACCAACAATGTTACAAATATACAAAAGATCATCTCATGTAAATAACTTTATCACAAAAAAGTAAATCTTGACGGGTTCAAATGCAATTATTACATGCACATTAGAAAGATACAACAGTTGAAAGAAGTTCTAAGGGACTCAAGGTAATTATTATATAATTATAAAGATAGTACTCCAATGTTCGCAGTCACTACGATGGCCGTCCATACGTATGTGAAATGGCTGATCTGAATCTCCAACCTACTGTTTACCACAATCACATTCATATTGTAGAAGATACACAGTATTTGTGGTCTTCCAAGTGTCAATGTAAAATAAGATGAATTTCGTACCAGTTGAATGACTGTTAAAAGTATTCAGTATTCAGTATAACAAGTCAGACATTGTTTGTTCTTTCAACCCTTGCAACAGCCTGCTGACAAAAAGCCTGGTTTAGAGGATAAATTATCTCTCACCAGCAAGTTAGAGAATAATTTTCTATTTTTTTCATTTGTGATTTTGTAAATTATTTGTAAAAGAGTAATGCCTTCTATGCTTGGTATATACAAGCTTGTCAAATTTTGTTGGATGATGCTGAATCATTCTAATAACCAAACGTAAACAACATAGGTGTTACACAAAAGCATATATTTAGTCATTGTTTCAGTAACTACTAGGTTAAAATGCACACATGACTTCCCATACATCTGTGAGAGTTATCTGCAATACCCCAGGTTTACCTATTGAAACAATCAATATACAATAATTGATGATATAGTCATTTGACATAAACAGGTATATAACATGTTTAACAGCCATATGGTTTATGATTTATTGATGTTTTAGGATAAGACTTGAGATATTTACTAATTTGCTAAATTTTGATACATTTTCACCTGACACAACTCTTAAACTCATCAACATATTTCTAACTAAATTAACACGCTGGCTGCTACCAGTAAAGTAAGATATGTTGGTGCACCTATGATCGCCTCCTGTTTTTTAGTAGGGCTCCTATTTTAAAGTACTTGGTCGATTGTTGTTTGTATTCCATCGATTTTCTGTTTGGTCATTGTGTTTATCTTCGACTGGTGATTGTTATTGTTTCCTTTGTTTCCTTCGCCTATTTTTCACCTGTTTTTGTGAAAACTTTTTATGATGGGGACATTCTTGAAACATTGTAAATAGGATACCATTCCTTTCTTAATCAAACATATTTCAGCCAATTACCGTTATTCAATGTACTTTATGCTACGAAAAAGAGTTGGCATTGCTTACTTTAATCTTGTGTTACAATTAATCGCTTTTCATATTTTTAATTCGTTCAAAAAGGAAACGAAAAACCTGGTTCACACATAACTATTACTTACTTTGACAATTCTCTCTGTTTTCCTTCTGTTCTTTCTTTCTTAAAATTCTCGTTTTCTTCAGACAGTTCGTTTACTTTTTTCTCCTTTTCTTCTAATTGTCTAGATAACCTAATCGTATAAATTAAAGATAGAAAGTTGAATTTATTCTACATGAATCCAACAAATAGCAATCAACTCAAAATATTTTTACAAAATGAATAACAATCAGATAGATATAGGGGAAAGTATTATAGAAACTACGAATACACACATGTCCATGCTTGTTTCCTCACTGACCAATTAATAAAGATTTTATATCATGTTTAAACAGTGGACATACTCAGATTGATGTATTTATTGATTAGTATGATCGGTTTGTCGTTGTTTCACTCTTACCGTTCCATAATGATGGGATTGATTATTAGAAAATTGTAATGTTGTGGTGTCCGAATAAGAAATGGAGATATCTTTTTCAACGGGATTGTTTTTCTAATGGAATTCTATAGGACTACAAACAGATTAAGTTCGATTGACGTCGTTTTAATTTTTAGCGTTCTAGAAATATGGTACTTGATTTGAAGAAAAACATTTTTTGTATGTTTCTGTGAAACTATTGGAGAACCCCTGTATAAAATTGTTTTAAATTTCAAGAGAATGTCTGGGACAACTACAGACATTTAAAGTTCGATTTCTGTTGCTTTCATTTATACCGTTACAGAGATTCTGGTACTTAAATGTTGGACAAAAAAGGTTTTCTGCATAATAAATGAATAACCACTTTCCAAATCAATTGACATTTTAATGGAATGTTTTCGACCACTTAACACATATTTATTTTGATTTTCGTCGTTTCCCCTATACCGTTCTAGAGTTATGGTTCTTGATTATTAAAAAAAATACAAAACTTTGTAGTCTCTGGATGATAATTAAAGAACAAAATTGTCTAATTGATTGAAATTTTGATTGCGTGATTTTGACCCCTAAACAGATGCATTTTACCAAAAGTTTTAAAGAGGATTAAACCAGAGTTTTACCCATTAAAATATATCAAAACACTTGTTCAATCATTTTGAACTATGGAAAAATTTTAATAACATCGTATAAGATTTCACAATTTGCTGCTAAAGAAAAAGGGGGGATCTCCTACTTGCTGCGAGCGGGGACATATGTGATCATTAAATCACCTCATTAGTTATTTATGAAATAACATTGCCTTTTTTAACATAAATTTCAGTTTAACATTTATGGTCGTCTTTAAGAAATATGTTCTCTTTACTTCCGATTTGATGTTGAAACCTTGAAAGGCTGAAAAAACGATAATTCTGGTATAACGAATGGTCACTTATTATACGATTAATTAAAATAGTTTCATTTGGTCAAAATCCAGCCATGGTGACGTACTTTGATAGGTCATCTTTTTGTTCTTGTTTTCCTTTTAGTTCTCCTTTAAGTACAGCTACCTCGTCTGTAAGACAGGCAACGGTCTTTTCCTGTTCTTTCAGCCTGTACATAAAAGATATAAAAAAAACGTTATGTTATACTTGTCGTTATGCTTGTCATACAAAGTTCAATAGTCAGGATTGTATCTCCAGTTAATAATAGTAGTCATTGGTGAATTCTTAAGATCATAGGACAAGTCTAATGGAGAATCCCTTCTGTGAGTTTTTTTGAAAAGATCGTAAAGAAAGATGTTCAAAATGCCAGCTTTTGAAAAAAAATTTAAGCTTCTGAATGAAGTTATAAAATGTTGAGCTCTTTCATACTTTTTTAAATTGCTCTTTTGTGGAGCAGGATTAACTCACACTTCCAGAGTATCTGATTGTTTAAACGTTGTTTGAGTTGCTTTTGCTTTTGTTTTCACTGGTGTTTTTTTTTATTATTTTAATGTTAAAATGCCAACATTGTTTTGACTGGTATCATGTTTGTATTTCCTTTCTCATGAAACCTTGTTGAATTTCAAAGTTTCACATTCGGACAAGAATATGATTAGACAATTCCTTATGTCGATTGGTACGATTCAATTCATAAGGTTTCACAGAAAAGAGCGAAACGAACAATTTTACAAATATGCAAGAGATCATCTCATTTATATAACTTTATCGCAAAAAAGTAAATGTTGACGGTAATAAATGCATATATTACATACAAATAAGAAAGATACTGTTGAAAGAAGTTCCAAGCGACTCAAGGTAATTATTATATAAGTATATACATAGTACTGCAATGTTCGTAGTCACTACGATGGCGGTCCATACGTATGTGAAATGGCTGATCTGAATCCCGAACCTACTGTTTACAACAATTACATTTGTATTGTAGAAGATGCACAGTATTTGTGGTCTTCAAAGTGTCAATGTAAAATATGATAAATTTCGTACCAGTTGAATGACTGTTAAAATTAAACAGTATTTGCAGTACAGTAAGTTGAGGTTACAGTTAAAGCATGTGTATTTTCTGATATAATTTTGAAGGGTAAACAGAAATCATACATACAGCCAAAAAAAAGGGGAATAGTTGTTCATTCAGATAGAATATCTGATGTTTACAGGATTGTAATGAAATACTAGCATATAATTACTGTGTAAGAAGTTTTTTCAAAATAAAAATATGAATATTTAAATATAATTTTGTAAAAAAAAAAAAAAAAAAAAATCTTATTCAAGTGTTGAAAAAGGGATGAGGGACTATTAAGGAAACCTAGGCCTCAAAAAGCTGATTGTTTAATATTGACCATACAATCCATTTCTTGAGGTTAATATATGTAACCTAAGTTTGTATCAGAAAGTCGAAACATAATATATTACATGTATTAAGAAAAATATTTTTTTCAAATCAAAAATAGAAAGAGGAGCTGATCACTGTTGTCTTATGGTCCTCAAAAAAATATATCTATATATATATATATATATATATATATATATATTGAGAAATAAGTAGTACACTTGGTAATTAAAAAGAAATAACTTTTAATCTGAAAATAATTTGGTCAAGGTAATTAATACAGTCTATAGTAACCACTCCTATTGAATTAGTTGCTTTTTATGAGCACTGATATTTAACATGTTTAAAGTGCATCTGTTACTGTTCCTATTATTCGGCCACTGACATCGTTAATTAGGGGTCTAAGGCCAAGAACAGTACTCACAAAATATGTTTTACACCCCCTGAACAAGTCTGTTATTGGATTAAAATCGAGTCATTTAATTGCAACCACTGCTCAAGTTACACATTTAAGTAAATACAACTTTTTGAAATTTAAACAAAACTGACAGTTTACTATTTCTGCATTCATAACGTGTACCCTGTATATTCATTTACCTCTGTATTCGAACTTCAGACAGATTTAATAGCATTCCATAGCAGTTATTGGCAGTTTTGAAAACCATATTAGGATGTACAGCTTAGCAGTTTGTATGAATATTCATTATTGACAGCTGTGATTATAGCTGTTCTCATGAATATTCAGAGAAGAAAGTAGTTTTGGGGTATCTCATTTAAGTTGTTTGTTAAAAATAACTGCTAAATAACTATAAGGCTGAGGAAACTGCTTAGAAAATGCTATTGAAATGCCTATATGCAAATTAACCATTGCCTTGAATTTGGCAACTGTGAATGCTAATGAAGTGCAAAAGAACAGCTGTCAAGTAAGAACTGTGAATGATTATAACTGCTCAAGAACTGCTGTCCTCTTTGACTTGGGCAATCATTTTGACATATGGCAAAATTATAATAACATCGTATAAGATTTGACAATTTGCTGCTAAAGAAAAAAAGTGGTGATCTCGCACTTGCTGCGAGCATGGACATATGTGATCATTGTATCACCTCATTAGTTATTTATGAAATAACATTGCCTCTTTAAAACATGAATTTCAGTTTAACATTTATGGTCGTCTTTAAGAAATATGTTCTCTTTACTTCCGATTTGGTGTTGAAACCTTGAAAGCCAGAAAGAAACCAATAATTCTGGTATAACGAATGATCACTTATTTTACGATTAATTAAAACAGTTTCATTTGGTCAAAATCCAGCCATGGAGACGTACTTTGATAGGTCATCTATTTGTTCTTGTTTTCCTTTCAGTTTTCCTTTAAGTAGAGCTATCTCGTCTGTAAGACAGGCAACGGTCTTTTCCTGTTCTTTCAGTCTGTACATAAAAGATATAAAAAAAAAACAAATATGTTATACTTGTCGTTATGCTTGTCATAAAAAGTTCAATAGTCAGGATGTTATCTCCAGTTACTAATATTAGTCATTGTTGAATTCTTAAGATCATAGGACAAGTCTGATAGAGAATTACTTCTGTGACTATTTTTGAAAAGATCGTAAAGGAAGATGTTCAAAATGCCAGCTTTTAAAAAAAATATTGAAGCTTCTGCATGAAATTATAAAATGTTGAGCTCTTTCATACCTTTTTAAATTGCTCTTTCGTAGAGCAGAATCATCTAACACTTCCAGAGTATCTGAAATTACCCTTGGTTTTGTTTAAACGTTGTTTGAGTTGCTTTTGCTTTTGTTTTCAATGGTGTTGTTTGTCCATTTTTATGTTAAAATGCCAACATTGATTTGACCGGTATCATGTTTGTATTTCCTTTCTCATGAAACCTTGTTTAATTTCAAAGTTTCACATTCGGACAAGAATATGATTAGACAATTTCTTATGTCGATTGGTACGATTTAATTCATAAGGTTTCACAGAAAAGAACGAAACCAAGAATTTTACAAATATCCAAGAGATCATCTCATTTATATAACTTTATCGCAAAAAATAAACCTTGACGGATAAACATGCATGTATCACATGCACATAAGAAAGATACAACTGTTGAAAGAAGTTCTACGCCACTCAAGGTAATTATTATATAAGTATATAAATAGTACTGCAATTTTCGTAGTCACTTCGATGGCTACCATACGTATGCGAAATGGCTGATCTGAATCTCCAACCTACTGTTTACAATAATTACATTTGTATTGTAGAAGGTGCACAGTATTGGTGGTCTTCAAAGTGTCAATGTTAAATATAATGAATTCCGTACCAGTTGAATGATTGTTAACAGTTAACAGTATTTGCAGTACAGTAAGTTGAGGTTACAGTTAATGCATGTGTGTTTTCTGACATAATTTTGAAGGGAAAACAGAAATCATACAGACAGCCAAAAGAAGGGGGATAGTTGTTTATTCACATAGAATTTCTGATGTTGACAGTATTTTAATGAAATACTAGCATATAATTACTGTGCAAAAAGTTATTTAAAATAAAAATATGAATATTTGAATATAATGTAGTAAAAAAAAAAAATTTATTCAACTTCCGATTTGGTTTTGAAACCTTGAAAGCCAGGAAAAAAACCCAATATTTCTGGTATTACGGAATGTTCACTTAATTTACGATTAATTAAAATAGTTTCATTTGATCAAAATCCAGCCATGGAGACGTACTTTGATAGGTCATCTATTTGTTCTTGTTTCACTATCAGTTCTCCTTTAAGTACATCTATATCGTCTGTAAGACTGGTAACAGTCTTTTCCTGTTCTTTCAGTCTGTACATAAAAGATATAAAAAAAAAATATGTTATACTTGTGGTTATGCTTTTCATAAAAAGTTCAATAGTCAGGATTTTATCTCCTGTTATTAATCTTGGTCATCGGTGGAGTCTGTAGATCATAGGACAAGTCTAATGGAGAATCCCTTCTGTGATTATTTTTGAAAAGATCGTAAAGTAAAATGTTCAAAAATGCCAGCTTCTTTTCATTTTGTTAAGCTTGTGCATGAAATTATAAAATTTTGAGCTCTTTTATACTTTTTAAAATTTGCTCTTTCGTTGAGCAGGATCATTTAACACTTCCAGATTATCAGATATTACCCTTAGTTTTGTTTAACAGTTGTTTGAGTTGCTTTTGCTTTTGTTTTCACTGGTGTTGTTTTTTCGTTTTTATGTTAAAATGCCAACATTGTTTTGACCGGTATCATGTTTGTCTTTCCTTTCTCATGAAACCTTGTTTAATTTCAAAGTTTCACATTCTGGCAAGAATATGGTTTGACAATTCCTTATGTCGATTGGTACGATTCAATTCATAAGGTTTCACCGAAAAAAAACGAAACCAACAATGTTACAAATATACAAGAGATCATCTCATTTATATAACTTTATCGCAAAAAAGTTAATTTTGACTGGTTGAAATGAAATTATTACATGCATATAAGAACGATAAAACATGTACAACTGTTGAAACTAGTTATAAGCGACTCAAGATACTTATTATGTAAGTATATAGATAGTACTCCAATGTTCGTAGTCACAACGATGGCCGTCAATACGTATATGAAATGCCAGATCTGAATCTCCAACCTGCTGTTTCCCAAAATTACATTTGTATTGTAGAAGAAAATTAGTAGCTGTGGTCTCCCAAGTGTCAATGTAAAATATGATGAATTTCGTACCTGTTGAATGACTGTTAAAAGTATTGAGTATTTGCTAACAAGTCAGACATCGTTTGTTCCTTCAAACCTTGAAACAGCCTGCTGACGACGAGCCTGGCTAAGAGGATAAATCATCTCTCACCAGCAAGGTAGAAAATAATTTTTTACCTTTTTCATCTTGTGATTTTGTAAATTATTTGTAAAAGGGTAATGTCTTCAAAGCTTGTCAATTTTTTTTCGGATGATGCTGAATCATTCTAATAATCAAACGTAAACAAAATAGTTGTAACACAAAAGCATTTATTCAGTCGTTGTTTCAATAACTTCTAGGTTAAAATGCACACATGACTTCCCGTACATTTGTGAGAGTTTACTGCCATACTCCAGGTTTATCCTTTTAAACAAGCAACCAACAATAATTTATGATATTATCATTTGACATAAACAGGTGTATAACATATGGTTTATATTTTAGGATAAGACATGAGATATTACTAAATTAAATTTGGTAAATTTTGATTCATTTCCAGCTGACACAACACGTAAACTCATAAACATATTTCTAACAAAAGTAACAAGACCGCCGATGTGTTGTTGTGCTGTGGTCATTTTTTGTATTCTTTTGTTTCATTTTAGCGTATGTGCTTTGTCTATATGCCATTTTGTTTTATTTTGATGAACTATTTGTTTGTTTTATAGTGATTGAGATTATAATACAATGTTGACAGCTGTACCCCTATTTTTGACATTTTCACCTTTTATGTCTGTTTATTCACACATTGTTGTCAATATGATAGAATTTTATGCGACTGTTATACAAGTGAAAAGTTTGACTAGCTTTAAAACCAGGTTTAACCCACCTTTCTCTACGTAAGAAAATACCTTTACCAAGTCAGGAATATGACAGTTGTCTTTTTTTTTATTCGTTTGGTGTGTTAAAACTTTTGATTTTGCCAATTGTTAAGGGACCTTCCTTTTTTAATTTTCCTTGGAGTTCGGTATTTTTGTTGTTTAACTTGTTACCAGTTAAGTAGGATATGTTGATGCACCTATGGTTGCCTCCTGTTTTTTGGTGGGCTCCTAATTTGCAGTACTTGGTGGATTGTTGTTTGTGTTACATCGATTTTCTGTTTGTTCATTGTGTTTATCTTCGACTGGTGATTGTTATTGTACCCTTTGTATACCGCCCATTTTTCACCTGTTTTTGTGAAAACTTTTTATGATGCAGACATTCTTAAAATGATATCATTCCTTTCTAAATCAAACTTATTTCAGCTAAGTACCGTTATTCAATGTACTTCATGTTGAGAAAAAGAGTTGACATTGCTTACATTAACCTTATGTTACATTTAATCGCTTTTCATATTTTTAGTTCGTTCAAAAAGGAAACGAAAAACCTGGTACATACATAGCTAATACCTACTTTGACAATTCTTCTTGTTTTTCTTCTTGTCTTTCTTTCATCAAATTATCGTTTTGTTCCGACAGTTCGTTTACTTTTTTCTCCTTTTCTTTTAATTGTCCAGATAATCTAATCGTATAAATTAAAGATAGAAAGTTGATTTTTTTTTACGTGAAAGAAATGCAAATCAAACAAATAGCAATCGAAAATATTTTTTACAAAATAAATAACAATCAAAATAGATATGGAGGAAAATATTATTTATCACACATTTTGTACTAATATGTACGTTTTTGCTGGCCAATAATAGCCGTGGGTAAAGGTTGGTTATTTGCCTTCTGGGCCAATATCGATATTAGCCCTCGAAATCCATATCGAGCCCCCAAATTTGACTTCCGGTAACCTGTCAATCAAAATCTATTTGTAAACAAGATGTCACCTGAAGCAGCTAGACGATCAGGAGAGGTTTTTCCCAGTATCAAATGACGATTCAAGTAAATTCATACAAGAAATGAGAAATGAGAACACAATGAAACAAACAATGAAGTCTGTAAAACAATAGAAAGTTATGAATCTGCTGTAGCAGAAAAAAATGTAAAAATCAACAGCGGAAAAAGTTATTTGTCCGCCATTACTTGACATTACAAAAGTTCCGATAAAAGTTTGACGTCATAATAGAAAATATATGGCACCACAATGGAAAAGTGATTGTTGTATGACATCGAAAGTTCAAGCGGAACAGATTCTCGGGTCAAGCGGAACAGATTCTCGGGTCAAGCGGAACAAATTTCATTTATAGCGTTGTAGATATATTGTACTTGATTGTTCGAGAAACATCTGTTTTTTTTTTTTGTTTCTGTAAAATTATTGGAGAACCCCTTGATAAAATTGTTTTAAATTTCAAAAGAATGTTTAGGACAACTAAAGACAGTTAAAGCTCGATTTTTGTTGCTTTTATTTATACCGTTACATAGTTTCTGGTACTTAATTGTTTGACAATAAATGTTTTCTGCATAATAAATGGATCACCATTTTTCAAATTGTTTGAAATTTTAATGGAATATTTCGACCACTTAACACATATTTAGTTTGATTTTCGCCGTTTCCCCTTTACCGTTCCAGAGTTATTGTTCTTGGTTACTGGAAAAATTCAAAATTTAGTAATCTCTGGATGACAAATAAAGAACATCATTTCAGATTTGATTGAAATTTTAATTGAGTGTTTTTGACTCCAAAACAGATACATTTTCCCAATAACTTAAAAGAGGATTAAACCAAAGTTTTAACCCTTAACTATATTTCAAAACACTTGTTTAATCATTTTGAACTATGGTAAAATTATAATAACATCGTATAAGATTTCTCAATATGCTGCTAAGGAAAAAAAATGGTGATCTTGCAGTTGCTGCGGACGGGGGTATATGTGATCATTTACTCACCTCATTATTTATTGATAAAATAACATTGCCGTTTTAGAACACGAATTTCAGTTAAAAATTTATGGTCGTCTTAAAGAAATACGTTTTATTTTTTTATTACCGATTTGGTGTTGATCTTTGATGTTATATTGGCGAGGCAAATATATTCCCTTGATATATATACATAAGATTGGTTATAAGTTTTATTCAAATATAAACTATATACATGTTTACAGTAAAGTGTAAACCACAAAAGTGACGATATCTTGGAAACAGTTCTCATATAAAGATAACCTAGATAGTAACAGTTTAGTATCTGATACTTGATAGTTAACATATGCACTCTAGTGATTTCCCAGACTACAGAGTTACATATAGTTCATTGACTTAATATTACATCTCCCCTTTTCAGCTTATGAGAAAATATAGCAACTAATAAACTTTATCATGAAAGGGACAGCTCATCTGTGTTTACAAATCTAACCTATCTGGAGGTTTTGATATTCTCCGGTACTTGTATGCATACAACTCAGATTTATCAGATTAATCTGTTGTGTTATCTTTCAGTTCATTATTGTGAATTGGTATTTCATCGGGGATTGTTTCAAGTATTTTTAGCAATTTTAGTATCAGGCTTTTCAGGCAAATTGGCAAAGTGTCGCCTCTGTCAGATTCAATTATAAAGAACGCGGTTCAATTGATTCCGCTTTGATTGTTCCCTGTTTCCTTTGATCTGTAACCCAAACGCGATCGCTTGTTTTTACTTTGGAAAATTGTCTCACTCGGTGTCGTCTGTCATAATACTGTTTTTTTGTTTCAATTTATATTCATCTTCCTTTTTCCACAACTCGCGAATGTTTTGCAATTTAGGTGCGATGTTTTTCGGAGTAACTGGGACTAATGTTCTTAGCTTACGCCCCATCAAAAGGTCTGGCCGCCTGTAACCATTTGAAAGCGGTGCTGTAAGAAAGCAAGGAATTATATTCGTCGTACGACTATTTATGCATATTTTTAATAGTTTGAACGCTACGTTCAGCTAGTACGTTTGACTGCGCAAATCTTGGACTACTAATCACGTGTCGAAACCCGTACGACTGGGCGAATTAGTCGAATGTTAATGAATTGTATTGAGGTCCACTGTCCGAGATAAAAGTTTTTGGTATTCCGTGTCTTGCAATGATTGACGACGGACTGATAACTTGTGCTAGACAATTTTGCTATCTCGATGTATCTCGAAAAAATAATCAACAACTAATAAGTACGTCTGCCCATTTAGTTTAAACAATCCAGATGCTAGTTTTTGTCATGATCGTTTAGGAAATTCGACTGCAATAGCGGTTCTGCATGATCATTAGCATTGTCGATACATTTTTGACATCTTTTGGCCATGTTTTCTATTATTGTACTCATACCAAGCCACCACACCGAGAACTTGGCTAGTTCTCGACATATAACAATGCCTTGGTGACCAACATGAAGTCGTTCTAATATTTCATCTTGTAACGACTGTGGGATAACTAACCTATAGGCTTTTAATAACAAATTTCCAACGATAGTGAACTCTCCCAGCAGACTCTAACACGGTTTCGAGCTTTCATTTAAACTAGATTTTTTTGGCCACCCTTCTTTGCAATATAACATAAGAGTCTTGCATATTTCATCTTTTACGCACTCGTCCCTAATGTTTAGAAGTCCCGAATTTATTGGACTGGGATAAGATGTTTGCCGGTGATCTAGATAATGCATCTGCGATATTTAATTCCTTACCTGGTACGTGCTCAATTGTGAAATAGAACCCCAAAAGGCGCATTCGGAACCTTTGTATTCGTGGTGGAAGTTCTGCAATACCTTTACTACTGAGTACCGGTACGAGCGGCTAATGCTCAGTTTCGATATTGAACTTCCTACCTATCAAATAATTACTGAACTTTTCACACGCCCAGGTCAAAGCTATCGATTCTTTTTCTATTTGCGCGTAACGCTGCCCTGTATCTGACATAGAGAGCAAAGCATCCGCAACATGCTTTAATCCAAACGACGCCGCATCAGCTGATACTACAGTGTCGTCCTTATTTGGATCATAATGCCCAAGCGTTCCGGACGAAGCTAGCTCATTCTTTATCTTGGTAAACGCGGTTTCTTGTACTCCTGATATATCAGTTGGCTTTTCCATCTCGGCAATAGGCTTAGCTTTCTCTGAGTCTACCCTACCACCCGAAGCGTCGACGATTTGACCAAGGAATTTTACTGACGGTTTTGAAAATTCACACTTTTCGTTCAGTATGATACCGGCTTTTCCGATCGCTTATGGAACTTTATTTAGGCTCTTGTCGTGCTCCTCCTGTGAGGCACCAAACACAAGAACGTCGTTCATATGGCACAATACGCCTGGATACCCCTCTACTGTCTCGGACATACGTTTTTAAAAGAATTCACTTGCAGAGTTTATTCCGAATGGTAATCGATTGCAACAGTACCTACCGAAAGGTGTAATAAATGTTGTTAGCGGGCGAGACTCTGCTGCTAGGTTAGTTTGCTAAAACAATGAACTTGCATCCAATTTGGTAAACAATCTTGCATTTGCAAGCTTTGCAAGCGACTCTTCTACAGCTGGAAGCGGATAATTTTCACGCTTGACCGATTCGTTCAATTTTGTAAAATCGATACACATGTGCACGTCACCGGTTGGTTAAGACACAACAACCATGCCAGCGCACCACCATGTTCATCGACTTTTGAGATAACTCCTAGCTTTTCCATTCTTGTCAACTCAGCTTTTACCTTATCCATCAAAGGTAACAGTACTCTGCGCGGTGTTGACAAAGCGAACGGTTTCGCATCTGGACCTAGCACAATTGTAGATGTCCATTTCGTTTTCCCTAAACTTTTAAATATCTTAGGGTATTTACCACGATAGTAGTTTTTAGCTTCGGTACTCGCGTTGACAGACGAAACATTTACCTTATCAATAATATCTAAAGCCTGAATAGCTGGTCTACCTAATAATGGCTTGCTTAATCCCTTAACACCTTAATCAAACAAACAAAAAAACAACAACAAAAAACCCGATAGTTCTGGTATTACGAATGATCACTTGAATTATGATCAATTAAAACGGTTTCATTTAGTCAAAATCCAGCCATGGAGACGTACTTTGACAGGTCATCTATTTGTTCTTGTTTTACTATCAGTTCTCCTTTAAGTTCACCTATCTCGTCTGTAAGACTAGCAACGCAGGTAGGTTAATGCAGGATTTGAAGTAATGATAAAACAGTAAATGTCTACTTAATAAGTTTTGTTAAGATGTCTGATGATTCTTCATATATATCTGATCTAAATTATGCCTCATAATTTATTTTGAAATATTAAATCCTGCTACACTATTTTTTTCAATACATCCAAATTACATTCAAATCTTAAAAATGTTTCTGTCATTCATTTCTAGAATCAAATTAGTTGTTTGTTCCTTGTTTGATATCCATTTGTTGCAATACTAAACATTGTTTGACTTCAATGTTCAATGTTTTTCAACTGGTTTACTATCACTTTTTAGCATGCCATACATCAGCTCAATACACTGTTATCTTTAGCTATCAGTCTGTATTGACATCTTAGTAATAATTGTCACACAAATTCATAAACATTTTATTTTTCATAGTTTTTATATCATCACAACAATATGTTTTATCTGACTATTTCCTTTTGTATGTTAATCACTACAAGAAACAAGTATTTTCCTCTGATTCATTATTTTTATTTTCTGTCATCTTTGTTCCAGAATCAATGTATAAATTGTTCAACTTTTTGATATTCATTTGTTGTCATGCTGACAATTCCTGTATTCCTCAGTTTTTATTTTAATTCACATGTGACATATCATGAATCGTCTATTAATCAGTCTGCTAATATATTTCAATAATAATTCTCACATATATTTTTTAACATGTCTTTTCATGCATAGATCCAAAAATCATCTCTGAAGTTTTTATACGATACATAATTTCCTTGTGTTGCATTTTCAAAATAAAGGAAGAGCACAGTCTTTTTTGTTGATTATTTACTTTTAGTTATCTTGTGTGGTATAACACTATTGCTTCCAAGTCATCAAAATACTGAAAATAGAATTGTAAACATTATTATTGGCAATTTATAAATCATTGGGATAATTACTATCTGCATAATATTATGAAGATTGAGAAATCAGGGAGGTCTAGCCAACACCCTGTGCACTTTGACCTGTTTTTTGACGATTTTTAGCCGAAAAGTGACAATTTAAGCCCTCTGTAGGAATCGAAGATGGCATTATTTTGGGGAATACTTTTAATAAGATCTGTATACATACATAATCTAAACGATCATTGCATTTTAAGGACATTAAAAGACCAGGGGGGTCTCACCGTCATTTAAGCGGTCTCCGGTAGGTTATACTATATAATTTGAATATCAAATTGGCACTTTGAGCCCTCCGTTAACATAGAAGACAAGAAGTTTACCAAAATTGATTTTGGTCTCGTTTGTATCTTTATAATAACTTACTATCTGCATAATATTGGGAAGATTGAGAGATCAGGGGGGTCCCACCATCGCCCTGTGGCCTTTGTCCTGAGTTTTCGACAATTTTTAGCTGAAAAGTGACAATGTAAGCCCTCCGTAGATATTGAAGATGGCATTATTCTGGGAAATCCTTTTGATACCATCTTTATATATACATAGACTTAGATATCATCGAATTTTATAGACATTGAAAGACCGGGGCGATCTCATCGTCATTTAAGCGGTCTCCGGTAGGTTTTCATTAGATATTTTTTTTCGGTCTTTCCATAAATATTTCTATTTCTATTTTTAAATGTTTCTAGAGTGATCGTTTTTGTTTTTGTTTTCAGAAATATTATATATAAAAGTACATCATTGATATCGTTAAATGATAAACATTTGTATTTCATAAAGACAAATGTGCAATTCATATAAGGGTTTATATTTGACAATGAGAATTTACGACAGATTGAAGGGGTCAGAAAACGATTTCCCACACATCTTTTCACTCCTCTTAACTATGACAATCATGCTTTTAATGTTATCGAATATTTTAATTTTTATCATTTTCAACTAAATATGAATATCCAACCGACTGCTAGCAGCCGGTTGGATATTGAATATCGAATAACGAATAACGAACCAGCCGCTTACTTCACATACATAAAAGTGAACTCGAATGTAACCTTGTAATTAAAACCGCATTTCCAAATTAAAAAGTTTTTTTTTTAAATTACAATATTTATTACATAGTTTAAACTACATGATCATGATGATACTAAAACTGACACTTTCTTAGATATAATGACTGCTTAACCAATACGCTGTTTATTTATTACTTTATCTGTATTGACTGAATGAAACTGAGTGAAGCATAACATTTAAGTACACCCAATACAATATTATTAGTTACATAGTGTGCTAGTGACCTAATACGGTATGTATGGGGTCAGTAAATTCCATATGGGGTGAGAGCGAAACTCGAATCCCCATATAGAATTTACTGACCCCATATATACCGTATTACGTCACTAGCACACTATGTAACGAATTTATGTTACCGACTATCTTAATTAACGTGTGAAATTTAGACTAGTGACCTATCAAAATGAGAGAGTCTTTAATACTGTTTGAATTAAAAAAACTACTTCCTGAGACTGTCGTACAAAGTGAGAGGTTTAGCGCTATTAAACCAGGTTTAATCCAACATTTTCTACATTTGAAAATGCCTGTACCACGTCAGGAATATGACAGTTCATGTCCATTCGTTTTTGATGTGTTTTGTCATTGATTTTGCCTTGTGATAAAGGACTTTCCAATTTGATTTTCCTCTGAGTTTAGTATTTTTGTGATTTTACTTTTTTCCATTGATCCTACAAAAACAGATGCCAACAATAACAACTTGTTAGGTTTAAATGTGTTTTATTAATTTATTTCAATCTTAATCATCAATTTCTATGTCTATTGAAACCTTTACGATTTTTTTCTCAGTGCCGTTTTGTTTTTATATAGGGACGTAACACCACTACTAACCGTGTATAAAATAAGCCCCGCCTCCCTACTACCTAATATGGAATATAAAGGGAAGTAACTCCACTACTAACCGTGAATGAAATAAGCCCCGCCTCCCTACTAACCTAATATGAAATATACACGGTCTCCACGAGGACACTTTTAACCAATCACATTCCTAGAAATGTATAGGAGGTAAGATAAAATAATATCTATGCTTGCATTATGAAGACCTCTAGTTTGACATTGACTCTCTGGGTATTAGAAATTTCATTATAATGTGTGGTGATAATCTTTCCACAAAAGAAAAAGATTACTATTAAATCATAACTTGAATATTTCAAGCCCAAAGAGTTGATCGAAACAAGATATGCATATACTGATTAAAATTAACCTGGTCAAAAAATTGAAAAGTGTCTGTTGATAAACATAAATTTCATCATAATCTGTACAAGACAATATAGTTACAACTGACAGACCTAATGTCAATTTTGATAGTTAACACTGATGTGTTTATATCACTTATTGAAGTATGTTAAACCAATAAATCAAATTTGTTTTATGTATGAACACACGGTGTGGAGAATTAAAATGTTAATATCAGATTTAAAAACATGAATGAAATCAATATTGTTTTTGAAAAATTGTCACATCATACTGAATAATTATAAAAGTTAGTCATCTCAATGTATAAAATTCCTACGATAAGTTACTTAATTCAGATAAGATATTTTGTATGATTGCACAACCTTTGCCATGATACAGTTAAAATTTTGACAAATGTACATGCATATGTTTTACTCTTTTTTCTCTTTCCTCATTTAATACCCCTTCTTTTTGTTTGTAATATATGTATGGTTATAAAAATCCAATGAAACAGTACCAACAATAAAAATGGAACACATGTGCATGAAGAATAATTTGAAAATTTATGCTCAAAATATACTGAATTATTTTCTCCATAATAATATGACCATGGTATGTCAGTCTGATAGCCCTTTTTCATACACATTCAGGAGACATGATTTTTATCACAAGTAAGTAAACTTTACTTGCCTAAAATTATACATACGATTTTCATTTTCTATAAACACGGACTGTCGGCTTTGCCGTTTTGAAGTAGCCAGAAAAACTTATAACTATATTAAGCCCCCCTTTTAAAAGAGTAGGTACAGTTTTATCTAGATGTCTTATTATTCTCCAATGAAATAAAATATACGGGCTTTGGCAATAAAAGGATATAATAATTTTAAACAAACTTACCTCAAAATAAAAGTAATATCCATCTTTTAAACGTGTGTGTTCTTGATGAGACACTAAAGACAAGGTTTCCGATCAGCAGGTGATCACGAAGTATGACGTGATGTGCAAGCTCAACTTTGACGTTGATAAAAACATATAGCTAATCAGATTCTGTGTAGTTTGGTTGATGACGTCAGATTGAGATTTCGATGCAAACACCGATATTCATTGTCAATTTTTTTTCAAAAGTATATTAACCTACCTGCGAATGGTCTTTCCCTTTTCTTTCCGTCTGTACATGAAAAATAGAAAAACAAAATATGTTATACTTGTCGTTATGCTTGTCATAAAAGTTCAATAGTCAGGATTTTATCTCCTGTTACTAATCTTGGTCATTGGTGGATTCTTTAGATCATAGGATAAGTCTGATGGAGATTCCCTTCTGTGATTATTTTTGAAAAGATCGTAAAGTAAGATGTTAAAAATTCAAGTTTCTTTTCATTTGTTTTAAGCGTCTGCATGACATTATAAAACTTGAGGTCTTTCGTACGTTTTGAAAAAAGAGAGGCAACAGTTAACATAGGGACATTCAACCGCCTAAGTCGATGGCTAAAAAGAAACAAAGACAATCATACATACAACAGTTCACAAAACACAACATAGAAAACTAAAGTCTGAGCAACACGAACCCAACCAAAAACTGGGGGTGCTCTCAGGGGCTCATGCAGGGTAAGCAGATCCTGCTCCAACTGTGGCACCCCTTGTGTTGCTCATTTTAGTACAAATCCGGTAATAAGTCTAATTCGGTAAATCACATTAGGGAAAAAGGGGGTGGGATTGTACTTCCGACATTTGGAACATATCCATTAGCATCTGTGAAACGAATATTCCATAATGGCCAACCAACTCGTGATGGCGTCCGTAAAACTTACGAAGGAATGATTTCAAATCCATCGCTTGGAGCTCTTGGTTTAATAGCTTCCTTGTGAGCAGCAATCCTTTATCAAGGAAATCATGATAGAAAATACAAGCGCTGGAATATCGTATCAACTGGGAGACGTATACTCTGTATGCAGACGCTGCTGAAATGTTTGTTATATAGAAATGGAAAGTTCACAATTGGGAAGCTGAAATCATCTCTTTGTCGTTAAGTTTTGTTTTCAACCGACGCTCATTGTCAATTTATAAATTTAAGTCAAGACATGAGGCAGACTTAACTGTATCTGTGGTATCCTTTATCTCAAGTTCGATGGGATAGATGCGTTCAGCGCAATAATCGAATCGTCTTAAGACTCACGAGATTTGTACAACGGTATTGTTATAAGATGGTAACGTACGAAGAATAAGAAGTAACAAAATCGTATTCATATTGACAAAAGGTTCGGCACAACATAAAATTATCGAAATAAATATTTCGGATAACAAATATCCTTCATCAGTATGATTTAAAATGAATTTTATCATTCTAATCTGATTTTATTTAAACAAATTTGAACATTTTTGAACGTTATGCAAATTTAAAACCAAACCACTATTGTATTATTGGAAAATTTCAAAGACAACACTGGTTGTTTATTTATAACAGATTCTGCATACTTATTCTTATCAAAGGCGGAAGTAGCCAGTAAAGTATGATATGATGGAGTACCTGAGATTACCGCGTTTTGGTGGGGTTAGTATCTTCCAGTATTTGGTCGGCTGTTTTTTGTGTTCCATCGACTTTTTTTTAGTCATTGTGTTTCTTCTCGAATTGTGATTGTTATTGTTCCCTTTGCATCCTCCGCCTATTTTTCACCTGTTCTTATGAAAAAATTTTTTGATCGAGACATTCTTAAAAAGGATACAATTCCCTTCTTAATCAAACAAATTTTAGCCGAGTGTCGATATTCAATATACTCTAAAAGAATTTATGTTAAGAAAAAAAGTTGGCACTGCCTGCTATAATCTTATGTTACATTTAATCGATTTTCACATTTTTGGTTCGTTCAAAAAGAAAAGAAAAAACCTGGTTCACACATAACTATTACTTACCTTGACAATTCTTTTTGTTTTCCTTCTTTTCTTTCTTTCTTAAGATTTTCGTTTTCTTCCGACAGTTCGTTTACTTTTTTCTCCTTTTCATTTAATTGACAAGATAACCTAGTCGTATAAATTAAAGATAGAAAGTTGAATTTATTCTACGTGAAAGAAATGCACACTCAACAAACAGCAGAGAACTCAAAATATTAAAAAAAAAACCAAATTAATAACAATCAACATATATAGATATAGGGAAAAGTATTTCAGAAACTACGAATGAACAAATGTCCATGATTGTTTTCTTACTGACCAATTAATAAAAATTTTATTTAACATGTTTAAATTGTTGACATATTCAGATTGATGTATTCATTGGATTGTGTTTCACATTTTTGTCTGATAATGGAATTCGAGTTGTATGCAGTTTCCTTGTAGTACATACCAAATGATTAAGAATTAAAAGATTGAACGCTTATAGTTTAAAAAGGCAATTTAAGATTTTTCATATTAACAGTACTTGATTGTTTGCAAAATTGAAATTTTGTGGTTTCTGAGTAAGAATGAAGAAATCCTTTTCAAAGTGATTGACTTTTTATTGGAATGTTTTACACTACTACAGACAGGCTTAGTATGACTGACGTCGAGAACCCCTTTATGAAATTGATTGAAATTTTAAAAGAATGTTTTGGACCACTACATACAAATTAAGTTCGATTTTTGTTGCTTTCATTTTTACCGTTCTAGAGTTTCTGGTACTTGATTGTTATGCAATAAAGGTTTCTGCATATTAAATGGATAATCACTTCTCAATTTGATTGACATTTCAATATAATGTTTTCGACCATTCAACACATATTTAGTTTGATTTTCGTTGTTTCCTCATTACCGTTCCAGAGTTATGGTTCTTGATTATTGAAAACATTTCGAATTTTGTAGTCTCTGGATAATAAAATAAAGAACAACAATTTCCAATTGATTAACATTTTGATTGAGAATTTTTGACCCCTTAATAGATGCATTTTCCCCAAAACTTAAAAGAGGATTAAACCAGAGTTTACCCCTTAAATATATCAATACACTTGTTCAAACATTTTGAACTATGACAATAGTATTATAACATCAAATTAGATTCCACAATATGATGCTAAAGAAAAAAAGGGGTCATCTCGCAGTTGCTGCGGGCGAGAATATATGAGATCATTAAATCACCTCATTAGTTATTTATGGATAACATTGCCTTTTTGAAACACAAATACCAGTTAAAAGTTTATGGTCTGTAATTTCGAAATATATTTCTTTTTTCGGAATTTGTGGTGAAACCTTGAAAGCCAAACATAAAACCCTGATAAGTCTGGTCTAACGAATGTTCACTTAATTTACGATTAATTTAAACGATTTTATTTCATCAAAATCCAGGGATTGCGACTTACTTTGATAGGTCGTCTATTTGTTCTTGTTTTCCTTTCAGTTCTCCTTTAAGTACAGCTATCTCGTCTGTGCTAAAAATGTGATCATCACTTGCTTTTAGTTTGTATGTCTCAAACAAAAACACCATTCAATTCTTATATTTAAAGATCTTTGAAGTATATATATTGTCGTTAATTGAAAACCAAAACTGACGTAACAACACAAATAATGCATACTTAATTTACAATTTGATGTCTGAAAAAATGGTTTTAAGTTGATAGTGACATCACACTATTGTTAAGTGAAATTTATGATAGTTTGGCCTGAATAAAAAAAAAAAAAAACATTGAAAGATAAGGGTTAATTTTAGCTCTTCGTGAACCTACTCCATTAATACTTGACGGAACGTCTAATATATGCGCTACTGAATAGATAATAAAACTCTATAACGGTCTTAAAATGTGTGCAATGGTATTGATATAAGATGGTTAAAAACGAAGAAGTATAAATAATAATAAATAATAAAATCGTATTCATATTGACAAAAATTTCGGCACAACAAATGGTCTCGTTCAGTGTCAATGTCTCTATCAATCGTGATATTATTATTATGATAAATATGTGTGTGTGTGTGTGTGTGTGTGTGTTTGTGTGTGTAAGTCTTCAACGATCTTTCTACCGAAGGCGTTAGATTGTTATGGAAAACGATACTGTACACAATAAATGAATTATACCTACGCTCAAAAAGTATACAAACCAACACCAATATTAAACAAGGAAACAGTAAATACTAATATCAAGAAATATTTCGGATATCAAATATCCATCATCAATATGATGTAAAATGTATCATAGCAATTTATTCTGATTATACCTAAACAATCTTGAACCCAACCAAGCTTTAAAATTTCGAAAATGGCAAAATTGAAGAACGTTAAGTAATTATAGCAGAGACTGCGTAGTTATGGATCCAGCACGGACCGAATTGATCAATACTTTTTCATAGATTCATGTGGTACCAATGTTTTTTTTTTTTCTTATCAAAAATAGTACGCAAGTGATTTTCTCCTCCTTAGACCAATCAGTGTTGTGGTCAGTAATTGTAATGGTCAGTCGATTGAGATCTGCCTCAGTGTGGCCAAATGTTCCTAAATGTCGACTAATAGTAATGTCTGGCCTACATTCATAGTCCCTACGAGTGCCGTTCAAACATATGTGAAATGTCTGTTTCGGCTCTCTAACATACTGTTGACCACATTAACATTTATATTGTAGAATATCCACAGTATTTGTAGTCTTGCAAGTAAAATCACAAAATTTTATGTTTTTTGTACCAGTGGAATGTCTGTTAAAAGTCTGGGCATTAAGTATTTGCTTGCAAGTCATACATCGTTTGTTCCCACAACCCTTGCATTAACCTGCTGACGAAGAACCTGGTTTGGAAGCAGATCAGCTCTCATCAGTTTATGATTTTTAATTTTTCATATTAAAGAAATGCTATATATGCTTGGTATATTAAAGCTTGTCGAATTTTGTTGAATGATGCTGAATGATTTTAATAACCAAATGTGAACAACATAGGTGTTACATAAATGCTTATATTAAGTCTTTGCTTCAATAACTACTGGGTTAAAATGCAAATAATGACTTCCAATACAGTTGTAAGAGTTATCTCCAATACTCCAGGTCTACTCTTTTACACAATCAATCAAAAATTATTTACGAAGTAATTATTTGACATAATGAGGTATATAACATGTTGAACACCCATATGGTTAATAAATTATTGATGCTTTTCGGTGAGACATGGGAAATTCACCAATTTGCAAAATTTTGATATATGTTCACCTGATACAACTCGTAAACTCATAAACATACTTTTAACAAGAGCAACACAGTGGATGTTACCAGTAAAGTAGGATATGTTTGAGCGCCTGAGATCACGTCCTGTTTTTGTATTGCAAAGTACTTTATAGGCTATTGTGTTCATTCGATTTTATTTGTCGTCATGGTCTTCGACTGATTGTTTTTGTTCCATTTGTATCTTCCGCCTCTTTTTTCACCTCTTTTTTTTTGAAAACTTTTATAATACATGTAATAATGACATTCGTAAAAAGAAAATCATTCCCTTGTTTATTTAGCATATTTCAGCCGAGTATCTTGTTCTATAAAAGAATTGCTGTTGAGAGAAAAACGTTGGCATTGTTTGCTTTAATCTGATTGTATATTTAATCGCCATTCACATTTTTGGTTCGTCAAAAAATCAAACAAAACTTGATGTATACATAATCATTACTTACGTTGACAATTCATTTTGTTTTCTTTCTTTTATTTCTGTCTTTAAATTCTCATTTTCGCCAGACAGTTCGTTTACTTTTTTCTCTTTTTCTTTTAATTTTTCAAATATCCTAATAGAATATATAAATTTAAGATATAAAGTTGCATTCATTTTCATGAAAGAAATGCACATCCAACAAACAGCTATAAACTCAAAATGTTTATTACACAATTAATGATAATCAATTGATATAGGAGAAAGAATTTAAGAAACCAGAGCATGTTCTAGACACATATATTGACTGATTTACTAGGCAGATCAAACACATTTAACCAATGCCACAGTGAACGTGAAAAGAATGTGCATTATTGTTTCATCACTGACCAAGTAACGTGACCGGTACAGAAATTGCTAACAAAAGCACATAAGTTTCACATGTGAATCACATAAGATGCAAGTAAGAATTGTATGCAAATCAGATTGCTCACATGTGCAGTTTGGTAGTTCATATGTGCCCCAAAAATTCTAACATAATACTCATATGAGCAATTCAAACCTCAAGCGAGCTTTTATTATCTACGTTAGTTTGATGTTAGTTTTGTACTTAGAAAAGTTTGTCCATTCTTCTAACCATTAAACACTAACATAGATCATTGCTCATATGAGTTTTTTCAAACGGACATGCCCAGTCATGTACTTCCTGTAAATTCAAATTTAGAGCATCAATCTGGAGTGAGATGGAGATGAAAAATATTAAGCCATATTTTAGTGCTTTTAAACTATGACATTGTTGGTATCTAATAAAACCAGTGTGGCTGTGGTTAATTATTTGTAAGTTATCATTTCTATTTCATTTTTGTTTCAGATTCTGAAATATATTACAATTTTAAGTCCTTTATGGGAGTATACATGTGCTTCAAATAAGTACTACATGTATATAAATAATTTCTGTTTTCAACTTTCTGAAATATGTACTAAATTTGTAAGTCCATAAACTAGTTTTATAATGTAATGTAATGTTTTCAGTGCTGTCATTATTATTTTATTAACAAAAAGTACAAAATAATATGAAAATCATAACTGACAGTATTAACAAATAACAAGTAACATGATGTGTTCATTTATTTTATTTTCAACTACTCAAGATTTTTATTTGAATTTTAAATTTTATCCTATTTTGAAGCAGCCATTTTGTTTTGATCTTTAGTTACAATTTAATCATCATCATCTCGAGATAATAAGATAACAAAATAAAATGGGTCAACTAATTTTCACATGTGCAAAATGTGAGCAGCTGCTCATATGAACAATCTGATAAAATGCATATGTGAAACGAAAGCTCATATGAGCATTTGCATGTGAGGTTTCGAACATGCAAATTAGCTTATTTTCATACGTGCATTTTTTGCTCACAAAATGCTCACCTAATTTGCATGTTAAAAACCTCATGTTCAATCATGTTAGCTTTTAACGTTACATCTAATGTGAGCATCTTTTGTGCAACTTATTAGCACCGTTTGGTAAGGGGTATACATTCTGAACATATTCAAATTGTTGTATCTATTGTTTGAAGTGAGTTTCCCATTTGCGTCAAATGATTCTAATATTGGGATTCGAGCTGTTTGTAGTTTTCTAGTAGATAATAGCTAATGATTACCATTGAATAAATTGAACGCTTGTTGTTTGAAAATGTCAAGTAGGAGACGATTTACTGTTTGTAATATTTTCTTCTGATGTTTTGCAAGAAAGTCGTCCCATGTGTCAGATGTCTCAAGCCCAGGGTAAGATAAAACGTGAAAACAAATCCGTTTTCCCTCGATAGAAAATACCCAAAACTGTATGTATGATAGCTTCATTTGACTGGAAAATATATCTCAAATTTGGTATGTTATAATTATGGACATTATCCACCATATGAACGGAAATGGACGATATGTCGATGATGATAAAAAGATTAATGACAAAACTTTCACCGATTTTTTTTTATCTTTTAAATATCTCAAAAACAGTTGAAATGCCTTTTTAACTCGGTTCCGCTCATTGAAAATATTTTACACCATATTTTATAGCAGATATAAATAACTTATCTTTCTGTCAATCAATATAAAAGATGGAAGTCACGTTATGGGTTTTTTCCGATATCACTAACTATTTATAAATTATTGATCAAAATAACAGGTCAGAGAGTTGAGACACTATTTTTTTTTTAAAGATAACTGTGTTCACTGATGACTTGATTGTATGAATGTGCCGATGATGTAACACGATTAATGTATACGTTTCCTGTTCTATTTTGAAATTTCTTAGAATTAGAAGTTGATATTGAAATCATTTAGAAAGTAAGATAACAATTATTCGTTTCTTTTAAACGATTTCAAAGTCTAAAATAATTATAGAATATCGTTGATGATCTCAACGAGATTGATTTTCTCGCTTGAGCCGGTACGGTATCAATGAGAAAAGTAATCGAGTTGAGATGACCAATAATAATCTGTTTATCGCTATTTTACCTATGACAACGTTGTCAATTTCATGTCAATTTCATTAGCAACGCCACGTGCACCCTTAGTTTCTAGCTATAATTTTTCATATCACTCGACTCCGCTGAGAAATCAAATTATCAGTCAGCAAGATCTAAGAAAAATTTTGTAAAATAGCGATAAAATTAACTATCAGAAAACGTCTTCATTATGTTGGACGTTTTTGTAATACTTTAAACTAACTACAAAATTCTAATACGGTTATTACTTCAACTTGTAAGTCGAAAAGATCGTAAAAGAACACGTTTAAATAACGAATGAACTGAAAGCAGCTACCAACCCCAACACGGTTTTCACAAGGTATTTGAATCCTTAATTGGGAAACCTTATACAAATCGTTTACATTATGATAATATCAAGTAACTGTTAAAATATAACTAGTTTGCTTCTTCTACTAGAATGTTTCCAACCTTGAAACTAGTTATCCAATATTGAGACTAAGCAGATGTCATTAGCATTTTAATATTAAAGACTCTTTGAACACATACGTATATTCTATCAGTTTCCTACTCTCTATACTACATTATCACACAATCTCATGAAAGGGAAATTATATTATCTAATCAGTTTTTATTCGTTAATCTGGGTGTTACAATATACACAATAATTTTCAGTTGAGTAATTGTTAATATAGTAAGTAGGGCTAAATAATAGGCACTAATAGTTTTTCGGTGTTGAAATCGCACGAATTCCTTTACAATATATAAACAAAGTTAAGGCAAATGAGGGATATAAAAAAAGTAAACCAGGTTCATTGACAGGATATGCGTCTCCTAATATGCATGCTCCACTCTCTAATATAATGAAATAGAGAATATGACATAATTGGTTTATTACTTTAAAGCTGTGATCATTTAAGCATAAAGCTTTTAATTACAGTGGTTTTTTCACAGGTCGATTAGATTTATCAAAGTACACATTAATTATTTATTTTAGCTTAGTTTCACATCCTATTTATCGAATGTGGATTTAATATGGTGTGTTTTACAGAAAGAAAATGTATCAGATTAACAACAAACAAATATTAGTTTGGGCATTGTTAGAATCATAAATATGACATAAAAGACACAAAAAAAAACGGTATCTTAAACAAAATTTGTACATTTTTTGAACATTTTGTATTATTTCTATTTAATGTGGCGTAAAGCAAATGTCCATAAATATAATCTACTATTTTCTATTTTTAAATTACTTAATAAGGTAAACCAAACATAAAAATATAATCTATGTAAAGTTCCTTATCACGATGTCTCATTAGAGGTTTCTCAACATCTTACGAACGGACGAAACTCGACGAACGTATCGTTAGGGAGCTGTAATTTTATGCAGTAAAATTTTCTACCGATATTGCAGCCTGTTTAAAGACAACAGTAAACAATTTAATATTCATTTTGCAACCTTGTAATTTATTGTTGTGGTTAAACATTAGTGTTCCAATTGGTTTTGTGTTGTTGAATGTTGCGTAACCTTACGTTGAGTTTCGTTTATTTACATGTCGAATATACGTTCAATTTATCTCCCTTATTCATTTAAAAAGAACAATGTTTTTGATAGTCGTTGTTAAAAAAAAATCTGCGCATTTGGTTTGCATTTGACTGAATGATTGTTGGATATTTTTTATAAAACGTTCAGTGGCGAGCATTCCATGCATTTCACCACGATATTAACATCTGATAAAGGATTGAAAAGTGGTATTAAATCTCCAACTCTGGACTTAAAGTCATACGAAACCTCAAATTAAAAAAAAAATGATGCATATGTTTTTTATAACTAAATGGATAGTTTTCATTATAAAACTTGTGTACATATACTTTTTTCTGTAGAAATTTTTTAAAATTGTCCACATTTAGAAGAAGTTTACTTTTTTTTAATTGCTTGCTTCCAGGAAGCAATTCGCCGACATATTGTCCATATGCAAGTGACCTTAGCGTGACCCTCCTCGTAAAATTCCGGTGATCGCAATACGCATGGATCTGTCATTAAAATGAACTATTATCTGATTGTACATGGTATACACGTGCTCAATATCCATGCTTCTTTGTTGATTGTTTACTATAAGGTGACAATCGGTAAACAACGGCTTCAAAACACGACAATTAAGTAGCTGCCATATTTTCACATCATAACAGACAGAGAGAAAAAAAAATTGACGATTATACGATATGTTTGCGTAAAAAATGATAAAATCGTGTACAGAAGACTAAGTTTATGATATATACATGCATTGGTTCAAGAACTGAATAAACATTATTTTTCACCAGTCACTCGTTTCATATGACTTTAACATCTCTAGCGCTCGACTTTAGATCTACAGCGCTAGACTTTACACCCCAGCGCGTTGGACTTTAAAAACCACAACTCCAGCAGATCACTGTATTATAGAGAAGTTTTGCGTGGATTTATAGGCCACACAGACTAATATATCAGCAGTGCATATGCTCTTAGCTAGTTCTTATAGTTCAAACAAAGTAGACTAATCTTTTCCTATCCTTAATAATTGTTGACAAATAATAAAGATTGAATTTTGAAAGTCACAGAGAAATGAAATTCGGTCACTTCATAAACAAATCAAAGGTGGCAAGAAAGGTCT